TTAGAGAAATTTAGTGATGGTCAATTGAGGCGTATTCAGGATGGGGACGAGCTTCTGTGCAATGTGTTGACCATGAAGGGAAAGCGTAGCAGCAGCTCTCAGGAAACAACATGCCACACCCCCCGACGGGTGGAAGTGGGATCTAAAATGTAGGGATTATTAGAAACAGGCCCCTGTTCACAAATGTAGAGATGGGGAAATTGGAATTTAGCATTGTGGTTTCACACCTCCCTCCCATTAACACTGACAGCCTGTAGTACATGAGGTACACCAATGGAAGCAGTGGACGCCCCTTCCAGAGAGTTCAAGGGCTACTTAGTAATCTATCACTGCATTTATCAGTGTAAGAAAGCAGCACAGCTACACCAGCAGCCTCCTACGCAAATCTCTGTCACCATCCTCGCCCATGTCAACCCTCCCATCTGTTTGGCCACAATTAATATGGTTGATCGAGTTGCTTTTTCACAATAGAAATGAGCAAATGAGGAAAGAGATTCAGGACATTTAAATTACTGCTGTGGGCATGTGGTCATTGCACAAAACCAAACACATGATTTTAAAATTAAAAATTAAAAAAAAAAAAAAAACGGTGTAGAAGATTATATTCAAATGCTTGCTCCACTCAGGATATGATGAAATAAAAAGCTTAGTTTTAGAGGTCAGACTGTGGATGACCTCTAAAACACCCAGGAAGCATTAAGATTAAAGCAGGAGTCATATAATGTGTTTGGCCTGTCAATCTCTATGACCTATGAAATAGAGATTCGGATTAGAGGGGGAGTGTATTTGATTAAGTTTTTATATGTTTTGATTTTATCAACTTTCACTGAATTCTATTATTGTTGGGTCTTACTATATAAGGCACCTTGAGGCGACTGTGGCTGTGATTTGGTGCCTTATGATTGAAACAGATTTTCATTAAATGAATAGTTCACAGTAGGTGTTGCGTATACAAATCATTTTAGAAAGACATGCAAAATAAAATGCGCAAACCACAGTCAGATAAGAAATAAGAGACGACCATGTGGGTATTTGTTCATCTAACACTTGGATTTAAGGACAACCCTGGATCTGTCTCTGAGGCTTGCAGAACTAAAAAAATATAATTGCAGCAGAAGGTGAAAGGAAACAAAGGAAATCCCATCACTGTGAAGAACCGAGAGCACAAAGCGTTGGTGAAGCAGCACACTCTGCTAACATTTTTACCACAGAGAAATGCTGTGGAGAAAGAGAAAATGACCATTTGCATTTTCAAATCCCTTAAATGTAGTGGACTGCTGTAGACTACATCCTAAGACTTCATTTCCCTCTCACCCAGACACACACATACACATACATCAGTGGCAGGGGTAGCAACTCTCCTTTGGCAGAGACACTAAGCACTGAACAGTTCTGAGCACAGTGGGAGGCTTTGGCCACCTGCATAGTGTGGAGTGGAGATAGAGAGGGAGAAATCCGACATTGAAATTGGTGGTAGACGCTGCGACATTTTTTTTAACACTCCAAGGATTCCCACAATTTGTTTGGGGGGTTTAAACTGTGCTTAGGTATTAGAGGGGCATGAAACAAAATAAATCACAGATTCCCCATTGCCTTTTTTTTTTTTTTTGGTAAGTCCCACACAGGAAGAAAAAATCCTTTAATGGTCCCCCAGGCCCACAGAAGACCTATGCAAAATGTAAACAATGTTTGCACCTACCTTTGAGCCTTGAGGCCCCACTACTGCGCCGTGTTCATTAGAGTGGAAATGATATGTGCAAACAAAGAGAGGCGCCCAAGCAGCACACTCTGCTGCTTCTTTTCATCTTAGAATTGCAAATGAATGCAGCCTCCTCACCTGGTCCCTGCAGGCAATGTCCCAGTGCCTCCAATCAGTGCTTTATTGACAGCAGGCATACAGCAGGAAACTGGAAGCACTAATAGTTGAGGATGATGCCTGATAAATATGTTCTCCCGTCTAACTGCACCCCCACATATCTTACAGCCTGGCAGGATGGCCTCCAACCAAGGTCAAAATGTGAAGACGCTCTGAGAACACAGCTGCTTATGCCGATGCTGGCACACAGTGTTATTTAAGAGTCGGTTGTGACCGTGTCTGGCTGCTCTCCATCAGCTTTGTCATTTTGAAAAGGTGCATCTTTGTCCATGCTGGCACATAATCTTGCTGGGGGAGGCAAGAAGGTACCGTGAATATTTTGAGAGAAATTCATCCAAGGCGATGCTTAAAGGTTACTAGAAAACACAAATATTCAGATGTTCTACTTAATAAGCTAAATGAAAAGCCTGGCATTCTATATAATTGTATGGGGCACTGTTGTCCATGGAGGTGCAGCTTTAGACTTCCAGCACAGCAAATGTCTGTGGCCTAACTGCTCTGTTTAAATAACAGGGAGGGTGGCACCGTAAACACAGACTTGCTTGGCTTTGTTGAGCTAATGACTTCCTGCTCCAGTGGCTTGTGAAACAGTGTTAGAGCCAAAATAAGTAAAATCGGGAGCAGAATTTAATCTGTCACTCAATGGAAAGCCTTTAAGCAGAAACATGCAGCCATCCGGAGGGTGCACGCAAGTGAAGTGAAATTACAGCAAAAGCTCCCTGGCACAGAGTGATGCAGCAGAACAGGTTGTGTATAGGAGCGAGGATTACAGATTGGTTGGATAAATAGGGGGATTCTTTAAAGCAAAAACACACTGTGTGTGAATGTCAACCAAGGTGGTAATCTAAAACCCATCAATCCCTTTGAATCTAGGTAAGCTTTGCCTATGTAGAATAAAGATTGATGTGGAAGGAAGACTATGCTTGCACTCAGGTTTTTGATCTTCCTGAATTTGCCCAAGGCTTGGTTTTGAACTGTGTAGATGTGCAGCAGTCAAATTAAGTGTGAGCAACATTCAGTCTGCCTCCCCATCTACTCGGAATTAATCATTTCTATGAATTGCTTGTTTCCTCTGTGCTCTCCTGGGAAAACTGGATGGGTATGATGAGACACTTCCATGCAGTAGATGAGCTAAAATTAATCAGACATCAGATTTTTTTTTTCTTAAAGTAAACCTGTCTTCCTTGCTTTGTAACCATTTCTCAAACTGTTTTCTGATAGTGGTGAATTTCAAACTAATGTGAATCCAAATTATACCTCTATGCAATTACAGTGAGCCAACACAGATTTTTGTAAACAGCAGAATTTATTTGCAAAAAAAAAAAAAATCCCTCTGAGATCACGCATATAACATGTGGCAATCTGTTCAATAATGAAAATAGACAAGCCTTTTAAAAAGATACGATGAAGTGCAAAGTTTTGAAGTATTATCTGGTAAAGTCAGTTACTCCAACTTGGAGGCAATGAAATGTAGGGTTTTTTTCTTCTTCTTCTTCATTTAACAAGTCTATTCTGAAAAACTGACATCAAAGTTTCCTGTGTTCCACATTAATATTCATGTCTGAAGCATAGAAAAGAAAACTGAGAAAATAATATGCTAATAGTAAGACAGACACTTCAAGCTTTTCTTCGCATGAGCAGAAAGCCCATACATTAAAATCCATTACATCACACTAAGGATATCATTATCAAGGTTAAATAGAGAAGTATTCAGTTATTTTCATATGTGCCTGAAAAGAAAAAAAAATGCCAATAAGAAATCAATTCATACCTCTGTGCATCTGAAATTACATACAAGTATTACATTTTATGAGCAGAGTGGTTTTAATTAAAGGTATTTTGGCAGTACTTTGAATGAAAAAAGCCCAACACAAGGAAGAATCTTTCAAATCCTGCTGCTGATATTTTAACATATGGCTCTAATGATCCTTTAAATTACATTCAAAATGACAGCTTTGAGAAAGAGCCTCAATATAAAAGAAAGGAATATGATTTTAAGGGCTGCTTTTACATTCCCAACCCAAACTTTTCTCATATGCAAACATTAACTATTTATAAGAATATAATCCATGTGATATTTGGCACCCTGAAATAGCAAAAAGGTATGGAATTATTTGCTTAAGCCAATTTGCCCAAAATGCTCTAAAGATCATCTTCATCGTACACTTTTAAAGTAGTAAAATCAGCAACGGAGAGATCAGAACAGACTTCATTTTATTATATATCCAAAAACTGGAATAATCTCCTGTGGGATATATTATTTAAAGAAACTATAATAGCAACAAAAAAATGCATTCCCTTTGAACTTCAAGTAGCACAAAAATACAGCAAACTTCATCTCAATAAAATACTTGTAGCTTTATTCAATTTTATCTAAGTTGCATCTAAAGCATTTGATTCAACATAGTAGATATCCATTTAAACTATCAATGCACATTGAAATCTTAACTTAACTCCATTTCTCAGAATTTCCAACATAGGTCATCTTTAAAACCCTAACAGCTTGGTTTTAGTTTTGTCGTTGTTGTTTTGTTTTTTTTGTTTTTTTTTTTCCTGTCAGTAATAATTAGCTAACCTCACATTCTTAAAATTATGAATATCTCAAGTTGCAACAAGAGCCATATGTAAACGGGCAGTGAGATAATTAATTAAAAAGAGGTTAATTCCTCCCACTGCAGTAGTCTACATTAATGGAAAAGATAAGAATAATCTTAATAGTTGGTCAGACCTTCTTGAAGAAGTCCAAAACCAAAGCAGGCTTATCTAAATCCTCTTGGCAGAGCTATCTGTAAAGTCAGAAAAGTGCAGAGGGGTGCTTAAATATGCCTGAAAAGCAGCTCTTATAAATAAAGCAGCAGCACAAAGGTTCTTCTGATAGTCCTTCATTTTAATATTCTTTCAAATAATACTTAAAAGAAGCATAATTTAAGCAAAATAATTTTATGATGTTATTAGGTGTGCCACAATGAGGATAATGAAATGCCCAAGCTAACCTACTCAACAAAAAGCATTCTTTGTGTGCCTCATTTCTGTTCTTGTTGGCTGGGAAAGAGTAATAAAGTTAGCAGAAAAGAACTGTGTCCCTGTTGTGCGATTGGTGTCACTGAAAAACCAAGGTTGACAGGCTGTGGATTATGACGAGCTCTCTGCCAGCGAGCCCTCGCAGTTGATCTGCCTCGGCGCCTGCCCCCCATCTCTGTCCACCTCATCCTCTTCATCTGATCTGGGCAGACTCGCATCTCTCCGGTGTACAGGAGGGCTGTAGGGGTCAATACACATACAGACACATTAGAACACGATTTCTTTTATAGCCCCATAAAAAAAGCAAACGCACATTAAAAAAAGAAAAGAAAAAAAAAACAGCTTTTAAGATACAAAACTCTTGGCTGACTCTTTCCAGTCAATAAACTCTTAAATGAGCAAGACATGCATGCACTATGTTAGCATGGTTTCCCTCTTTTTGCGTCACAGAGATTCTAGCTCTGTGGACACCAATAAAAAAAACTTTATGAATCATTAAAAGAAATTTCTTATTGAGCTAAATGCTTAAGAATTACATGCAGAAGTATTGTAATGGCACCATGTTCAAATATTAGTAAATATGTGCTGTTAGTAGGTTAAATGTAGAAGAGATTAAATCAGAACCAACACAGCATTCAGTGAGCTTGTGCCTTGCTTCTGCCTCTACTCATTAAAAAGGTTATTTACCTGGAGCCATTCTTAGAATCCATTGTCATGACAACTCATTACATCAGAATCACTCATTGCACTAGTTTGATAGCAGCTTAGCTTACTGCAGAGATTCCAGTATATGAATACTTCCATTAAGATACAATTTAATGAGAACAAGGAAAAACCACTGAAACAGGCTCTTTAACACTAAAATAGTATCTTTCTGATTAAACACACATGAGTGTCCTTGAGTATTAGACATCTGCTTGAAGTACACTGCACTGCATGTTCAACATACAAAATGCTGCATTTCATCCATGAACTGTGTCAGTACATAAGCCAAGGACACTAACATTTAAAAAATACTTTTTAAAAATTTGATAAAAGGGGTGCTTGCAAATTAACATATTTATAATTTGATTACCTTCTAGCTATATCCATGAAAACTAATATATAACCAGATTGCTTTAAGCCACCTGTGTAACTAGCTTCCAGAGCAGCAAGATGTATCAAAACAAGCAATACAAATTAAAAATGTCCTAATAATTACTTTCAAGTAGGTTTACTTTAATGAAGTGTGAAATGAATATTTGACCATTTTGCAACAGCAAAAGCAACAGCACACAGAGAGCTGTGTTTTAAGGCTAAATTGTTAACACATACAGAAAACTGGCCTTTATTAGTTCGCTGGCATAAGTATGACAAGAACAAGAGATGCTATCAGGAACTCAAAATAGATAGCTTTTGAGGCAGAGCTAATTTTAGAATATATTACACATGTTTACATCAAATAATATCAACAGTCACGTCACACCTGAACTCTTCACAGTTAACATGCAAAAAGAAAAATAGGTGTAATTAAATTTTTTCCCCGTTATTGCCAGCATCTGTTTATCGGTTTGTGCTAGAGGAACAGTCACAGGCAGACACTCTTCTCTTAATACTATGCGTGCAAAACACCATCTCAAACACCATTAGGAAAAACACTCAGATTTGCAGAGATGCTTCTTTTCTTTTTTTTTTTAAATAAAAAACACACAGGAATGTAACACTGCTTTATATCACTACTATTTCAGGACAAATATTTCAGTGTGCTGCCTGTGATGCCTTGGAGCGGGACAAATAAAAGCTAAAAAGAATCTGATGAATTGCAGTGATGGATTACTTTAAACCTAAATATAAACTGTTGTTTCTAATGGAATTTAAAAATAAAACTCAAGGAGTTTGTGTAATGCAAACCAGAGGCATCACTACAGTGTATGGAAAAATGTGAAGCTTAAATTAAGACAAATGTCAGTACAAGCAAAGGAAAAACGGTGGTAGGCATCAATAGGCCTGTGTCATGTTTGTCAAAAACACTACTAGTAGTACAAATAAGCATTTGTTCTTCACACGGACCATTTAGTCAAATTGATGAATAAAAACCAAACTAAAAACAAAGAAACTGTCACACATAGCAAACGTTAGTATTTTAAGTCAGACGACCAAACTTTATGGCAGGCTCGGGGTTATCACCACACCAAGTATCACCTTCGTTCAGTATCAGTCACTGTCATGCCTGTACAGGTACTTCATCACCAAGCTGTCCATTTTCTTCTGCTTCTTCTTTGTTTCCTTCTTGCTAGATTTTCCATGACCTGGAAGTTCCTTCTCGTTGTCATCAGATTCTTGTTTAGGGCACTTTTTAATACTACTGGAGCTGCGGTAGGAGATGGCTGAGTTGGAGGACGAAGACTCTGAAGAGGAAGAAGAGTCTTCTGATTCACTTTTTTTCTTAGAGCTCTTCTTGGACTTCTTCTTGCTCTTTTTCAACTTTGAGCTCTTTCTGCTGTGATGGTCATCTGACGATGAGGAGCTCTCAGATGATGAAACTTTACCTTTTTTATCTAGACAACTACGAGAGCTGCTGGTGCTTGTTGGCCTGTTACTGTGCTCCAGAGTAGAGCCTAATGAAGAACGAAGCGGGTTAGAAGTGCTGCAGCCCAGCCCTTCACTTTCAACCTTCTTCCTACTGTCCTCACTCACTTGTTTCATCTTTTCATCCTTGTCCTCATCACTAGACTCATCAAGTTTGCTGCGTTTGAACTTAATAGGTTTGAAGCTCAGCACCTCATTAATTGCAGCCTCTAGGTCAGGGTCCAAGTAGTTTCGATGGGTGACTAATTTAATGTCTGACGTGTCAAGCGGATTGTTGTCTGATGAGCGTGTTTGAGCTGATGTAGAAAGGCTGCGACTGCGTGAGCGGGGACTGTAAGGCGAGGCTCCCCCTCTGCTAAAAGCAACACTCTGGCCGTCATCATCGTCATCTACGTGTAGGCCAAACTCACTCAGGCCACAGCTGCGGGCAACGGACAAGCGAGAGCTGCTGCGTCTCTCATCTTTCCAAGATGTGCTGCGATGGAGCGATCGAGGGCTGGATCGGCTCACACTGCTGATAGTTGACTTATTGTCATCGTCCATGTCCATCATTGCTCTCCGGGTGGACATCCTGCTGGGACCCACAGAGGATACCATGGACTCTTTATCAAACTCAGGGCTGCTGCGTGAAGTCCAGCGGGACTCCAAACCCTTCCTGGCTCTGCTGGTGGCTTCAGAATAGGCTAAAGAGATGACAGAACCTTTGTCTTCTAAGTCTTCCTGTGACCGACTCTTCTTCCAATCTTCCTGAAGGTCTCCAGACTTTGATTTAGATTTTCGAATGGAGGCATGGTCTAGTGTGTCAGGCTGTTCTTTGAGAGTGTTGAACAGGGAGCTGTCATCGCCTGTACCTCCTATGGAGTCCTTCAGATTGGAGCGTTTCCGGTAGCTCAGAGAGCTCAGGACAGACACCGATCTGCTCGGCTCTACCTCTTTCCCATCTTTGTCATTAATCTTCTCCTTACCTTCTTTCATCTCTTTGGCATCTGCATTTGCTGAATATCTAAAGAGTTGCATAAGAAAAATGACAACCAGGAGAACACAAGAAGAAAAATACTGCGTATCTAAAGCCGGAACTCTCAATTTTAATTTCGTGAAATATTCACAGCTGATGTATGACAACTATGACAGCTTATATGTGGTAACTGAAAGGTTACATTTTCATACTTTGACACACTGATGTCAATTTGTTATAGAATAAATCTGTCATTTTCATTTTGTCCTTGAAACCATTCAAGAGTCAGGGAACACATCCAGTACCTCTGGCTATTGCTGTTATGCACAGTGTACACTGTAGAAAGTGAGGCAATCAACCAGTGAGAAGATCTATCTAACTGTGGTAGAGGCGTCATTTTGCAGGCGTGCCAACTGGCCACGGGCCACTTCAATAAATTTGACAGCAGCCGCTTCCCCATCCTGCCTCCTGTCATTAGACAGATTACCGGGAGAGAGAGATGACACCTAATCACATGAAATACTCATCCTTCTGTTGCAAACTGCCCCAGGTAATCGTGGGCCTTTTTAAGGCTGGCGATGTGGGTAGTTTCATCACTGTTATAATGGGGAATTATACGGTCATCTGACAAAAAGCATGGAAAGCTTTCACTAACCTGGTGCTCTTCAGACTTCCCTCTTGTGACATGGTCTTGGAGGAGCCTTTGTTCTTGGAGAGCCAAGACTTGACTCCGTCCACACGGTCCTCCACTTCTGAATCTGTGTCCATCTCCTCTCCACTGTGAAGAAACCAAATCAGCTAGAGTTGATATAGAGCATCCAGGGCTTTCCAACAGCAAAAATACTCATCTTAAAATTTTTCTTCTTTAAGTAGAACAATCTTCCACACAAAGAAGAAATGTAGGGATGTGTTCTTTTGATCGTCACTTGGCTGTTTAATGTTAAATTCCAGAAATACATCAAGTATTTTATATAGTGTGTCAGATTACATAAATTACACAGCCAAGAAAAAAAAAAAAAAGGTGTTTGATTTCACATATTAAAAACTTTCTGTTAGCAGGTTACAGTTATTTCTCTCTCATATAAAAATAGGGGTTAGTATGACGCCATGCAACAGTTTGGTGTCCGTACAAGAGACAAATGTGCTGCAAATGCATTAGTGAAAAGGCGGTATGCAGATGAAGCTCCTGGAAGTATAATTAACTTGTTTGGCTGGTTCCAAGCTGCTAGCATCTGTGTGACTTGTCACCTGTCGTCCCTGGTGATTGTTATTGGAGTGGAGCCTTGAGACAGCCCCATGGCCCTATGCTTGACATGGCAATCAATAAACAGAGACCTACAGATCTGGATGAAAGAGCTAAGCAGATCCCAGTTGATTTTTTTTTCTTTTTTTGGTGAATATTCTGTGTTATGCATCCCATTGTCCTAGGAGGTTAAAGTGACACAAGGAGGTGAGCAAAGTGGCATAACCTCTAAGTCAATACTGACACTGGGGTCAAATTACATTAAGTGAAAAATCCTCTTCTCTTTTTTTCCCTTCCCTCCCTTCAGTGCGAGATATACTGCCTTCTTAGGCTGCATGATGTGTGAAAATAAATTTTCACATTTCACACTTTTGAAATTGCAAAGACACACATATGCTATGAAGGCATAAAGTATGTTTGACTTGTGTTTCTGAGCAGAGCAGAAAATTACATTCTTAAGAGACACTTCTTACGTTCAAGACAACATCCTCTATATTAAATACACAAATTAAGGTTCATTATAGAGAGATCCAATTTGCAGTTCCTCTTTATCTTTTTTTGTCTTACATAGCGCCTTACCTAAGATACCTTTGCAACAATCACGTTTCATCCATCTAAAATAATTGCTTCACATATCACAATTGTAGATATATAGTTCATCTTGTGTCTATATCAAGCTGAGCACCATTAAAAATAACAAACAGCAATGTAGGTAACAGATCTGTCTCTGTGGACTAGCTTTTCTTTCTGAGCACTGGAAAATGTGGCAAACTGCTTATAAGGTGCAAACACAGTATTCCAAGAGGTGTGAGATGACAGCTAGACAGCTCCAGCCTCCATAATAGCTCTAGATACCATATGTGCATTTACATAGGTCTCCCACTGAAGAGAGTAGTGTCTCCTTTGTCACCAATCTCTGCGTCACACATTCATTTTTTCTCCTCTCAGAACAAATTGTTATCTTTCTTCCCTTCTTTGTGGTGGTCTGCGTGAAAGCAGGACATCGTCAGGGAGTGAGCGCAGAGCGCCAGGAGCATTAGGTTCTTTAAGTGCTATTCAGGCTTTCTAAGAGCATTTATATCTTAACTCAGGGGCCAATTTTCAGGTAATGATGATCCCAGCGAGATTAAGTGGTCTGGTTATAATTTTACTACACAAACCCTGCCCATTGCAGAGTCTGAGTAGTGCCTTCTGAGGCAAAAGGTGAAAATTGTGAGTCCAAGTCAAGCTATAATAAGCCAGCCCTTCATTTCACACTCCCTCTACTCTCTTTCGCATAGTAAATACAACTGATAAAAGCCCACCAGAAAAAAAAAAAAAAAGAGATAATAGCTTCGTTAATACCGGCGTGTTGATTACACATGTTACCCATTTGTCATCTCCCTGATGCTGTGACTTTTTAACATGATATATTACACACCAAAATACTGAAACCAGCCCACAGCAAAATTATCTCCATCTCCTACCCTCAGTCTAACACACAGGCGTGCAAAATAAAAGGTGGCTTGCAATTGAGTGCTGTGCAAATGGTGTCACAAACGATTTGTCCTTGGCCTCACACTACTAGCTAACCAGTCCTGAGGCCCACAGATACAAACAAGCCCCAAGACTTCAGACGTGAACATTAATCGCTTCTGACAATTGGTCTACACTGGTTGTAAATCTTTGTCGCAAATACTTACAGTCAGCATCAAATCATGTATGGTTTGGTGCTATCGTGTAAGTGCTAAATAACAGAAACATTAAACCATACATTTATGGTCTTTATTGTACAAGAGCTAATTATGTCAAACCGTGGACACATTGCACTCTGATGTAATTAACTTGAACTTCAAGGATAATTATCACCTGCTGACAAAAAAGGTAATTTTTCTTGCCTTGCAAAGTATTGTGCTGCAATCAGAAATGTAAATGACACTACAATCACATTAATCCAAGAATTGCAACCTCTGCTTTGAAATATTAAGTACAAAATATTCAATAGTAATGTAATTCATCTGGAAAATCCACTTCATAATTAGGAGAAAATCACCACCTCCATTACTGTTCATCCATGCTGTTAATGCAATGATGTCGAAGGAGGGAAAATGTAATTAAGTAAACATGGCAAATCGTTGCTCTTTGCCTCGAGTTGCACAAAAAGAAAGGCAAAGCACGGATACACATGGACTGTTTGATGAAAAATTGAAAGACAAAGTGATTAATAAAGGCACAATAGCATATTCCTTTGAAAAAGCAATCAAAGGTTAATGTAGAAAGCTATGGATATTTGCTATAAACAGAAGATTATGCTGGCATTGACAGTTAATTATTCAGCATGCCAAAATCCTTTTACTACATTGAAAATGAAAGAAAAGAGGGTTGAGTAAAAATAAATAACCACATTTAACACGAGAGACAAGATGAACTTTTATATTTTCAGTTAAATGTTTCACAGTACTGTAAAATAAGATTGGATTAGTAGAATGTTTGAATACAAGGAAAGCAAAAGCTCAGCTTTGAGTCAAAACATTCAAGTAGTGGACTGTGTTGTTCACACCACTTGCTGTATATGCAGACATGACATACACTCACAAGCAGTGCTCACACAATCATGCTTAAGGTTTTCCAGAGCACATGTAAATTACTCCCATAAGATTAAACACTGAAAATATCTTCACCAAACTGTCACAGAAAAAAAGCAGATGACTGAAGATACATTCAGGCAACCACAGAATTGTAATTGTTTCATATTACTACACATATCTCCTATAGAGCTGCCTGATTATACATGATCAATATCATTGCTACAGCAACACCATGTATCTACCTTCCCCAGTGCATGCAACAACAAACCCAGACATGTCTGAGAGTAAAAGCCGCATGAGAGCATCCTATGCCGATTTAGTACCTAAAATGGAGCTACTTCAACGACCTCTAACAAAGCATGGTGCTTTGCAAAATATGCATCTTCCAGCTAAAAGTGGAAACAACAAACTTGTTACATCATTTAAGACAAAAATGATGTATGTGACCCAACAACTGATTTAACCAAGCATTGCTGGAGCACTCACTACTTTTCTTTCGGTATTGTCAGTTCAAGCCATTATTGGAAATTTTCATCACATATCATTACACAGGTGATATCATTCACCCCTAGTCTCTTATCATGCAAAGTGCAGTAAATGAATATTACATTTATAATTTTGCATTGATGCATCACAGTGCTGCATTCAGTGAGATGTGCTGCATGTGCTTTGGAAAAGCTTTAGAAGAACAAAAAGACAATTAAAGAAAAGTCAGTGCAAAAATGCAAACTCTTGATTTTAACAAAGTGGTGAGCGGTGAATGAGGACGATGTTTGACGCAAAATTATTCATAGAGAAAATGATGCAGCATTACCACGTTTCTTAAAAAAAATGGTTTTTCTTTTGGTTTATATTTTCAAAAGCAGTGAGAACGGTTTAAAGGAGGAAAAACTTCAACATTTAGCCTTATACTCCATTTTTCATTCTAGTTTACATTTCATCTAACATCAAACAAACAAGCCTTGAAATCTCTAATGAGGCGGACTGTGTACGGACACCGTCAGACACTTGGCACGAAATAAAATGAAACACCGGGGCCATCCTTTAAGCATAGCTTTTATCAGAGACGTATAACACAGACACTGCTTTCTATTCTATTTAAAATTACTTCGTCTCACAGTGTTACCGTGAACAAAAAGAATGAAAGGATAAGGTATACTGCATTATTCTCCCTTGCGGTTAAAATGGGTGCCGAAGAAAAACAAAACAAACTTGAAAACAACCATAATGACAGAAACAAAAGGAAGCATTTTCCATTCTCACGTTTTGTTCTTTCTTTTCTGATATTTTGTCACCATGTCTTGCAAACTGCCAGAAGTGTGGAAGACACCAAAAGGAAAAAGAAAACAGAGAACGTGAGATACATTTTTTCTGAAACTCTGCAAGAGGAGGACAGAACATAAGAGCAATTTAAGCACATATAAAATAACTGTGTACTGTAAAGCAGTAAAACAACCTATGCCCTCTGCTCAAACAGAGCTGGTGAGTGCACTGTCTTCTTTTTAGAGGTCTGTAATATTGCAGTTAGTGTTTACATCTGAGGGCTCAGAGCCAGCATAACCCTCAACTCAACTGCAAAGAGGAAACGTGTAACCAAACCAGAAAAAACAACAAAGAGACAAAAGATCAAAAGCATGGAGCAGAATTAAACCATTTGAGAAGTATTTGGGGAACTCACAGACTGTAGTATGACTTTGTTCAAAAGAGGTTAGAAATTGAAGCAGGAAGACATAGGAGAAAGAACATGTTATGATTGACAGCCTGGTGAAAAAGCTAGCACATCTCATTTGGTAACTTTCTTCCAACATACAAAGAGAATGCCCTGTGGTACCTAAGGCAGCTAGCTACATTGCAGTGTGGCATCTAATGAAACAAAGAATAAATCTGCACTTCACCTGTTAATTAGGTCGTCGTTGTCATCACTCTCCATCTCATCCTCAATGGCAGCCTGCAGATCCCCTATCCTCTTGAAGGCTAACTTAAGGTCCACTTGTAAGCTCTGATTTGCTGCCTCTAAGCTCTCGATGTCCATTTCCTGGTGAATGGATTGGAGCATGGTTAGCTCCTCCAGTGTAAACACCAGTGAGTACCATAAGGTCACAAATCACCCATGGCCTTACCAGCTCATGTTTCTTGCGGCTTGCCTCAGCCTCCTTCTTGGACAGCTCTGCCATTTCTTCTTTCATGTCCCTTAGCTGCCTCTGCGTGCGTTTATTCTGGTCTTTCTCCCTGTTTTCTGCAGTGATGTGCTGATTTCTCTCCTCCGTCAACTTCTCAAGATTCTCCTTCAGACGACTCACCAGACTCTGGGAAGCAGGTGACGAACATGTTAAGGGCACATATAGTACAGACAAGTGAACAACACTCAAGCTAAATTATCTTCTTTGTACTGTTTTAAGTAATTTCTCAGCTGCCTGCAGCTGGCCACTGTCAGTTATGCCATTAATAATAACAAAATGGAAATGTGAACAGTGCTATGAGTTGCCCTTTGTCCAAATTCATTTTAATTCATTTTTAAGGTGAATAACAGGGAAGGTGACCATCAACTGACTGTCTTTATAAGAACCTAATTAAATTCATTCCATGATGGACACTTTTGTTATCTAGAAAGACAGTACGGAGCAAAGCAAGCGGCACTATAACTTTCTTTTTAAGGCCTTTGTCTTAAAATTACTAGGAAATTAAGTGTCAGAATCCAATTAACAGGTTGGCAATGCATGGCTTTCACATTTGTCCACATCATCTTACCTCCAACCGCTTAACCTGCGTTTTCTCATATTCCAGTTTGGTCTCTATCTCACGGATTTTAGCCTCCTGGCGGCTCACAAGTGACTTCTCCACCATGGATTGTTCTTGGAACTCTAATTGGTTCTGTAGCGAATGGAGCTGGAGGACAGACACACATATTTACACAAATAAACACTCTTGAAGAGCAATTTCCACTGTACACCTTCTTGACCTCTGGTTTTTGCGCCCCCTCTTAAGTGAGATCTGTGAAAATTAAAATGAAGTGCTGATGTGTGTATGTATTAAAACCAAATTGCAGTTTTGTATAAATGTAATCCAAGTCTCTGAATATAAATATTTTGTATACAGCGTGAATAATAAGCTCTAGATAAGCCCCAAATGTACAACAAATAGTTAAAAGAAGAGCTTGTTGTTGAAACTGAGTAACAGCAAGCCACAGTAATTTCACAAGCCTTTAGAAAAGCTTTTGCTTCATGCAAAGCACGTTTTTTTTTTTTGTTCCATCTGAATGGTTTTCTCATGACTGATAAAAGGAAGAAAGACACATCACAACAAAACTGGTCCAAAAGCCAGCATGGCACCTAATAAGGGACTTTGCATCAGAGACAAGGAGGATTTGGAGTTCTCCTTTGATATTACTAAAGAATCCAGATTTTTCTCCTACTGGGGATAAGATAACCACTTCAAGGTCAGATGCTTTAGATAGCTATCACTGCTTACTCTGACAGGTTTTAACAATGCCTTACAGCCCTGCTGTGCTACTTGGGTATCGCCAAAAATATTCTGATGGGTGGGCCTTGAGTGACCCAAAACTAACAGTGTGCTATTATTTCTGTGTTTTGATTCTGGGATTATAGCACACAATTTTGTTTAGTTCACCATGCAGCCATAAAATACAGTCTAGTAACACCAAGCTGTGGTCGTATAATGTGCATTCACACTTATGCTAAACTTTGCCATGCTAAAGCTAAATTCGCATTTAATCTACCAGACGCATTTATTTACAAAATGAATTTCATCAAAAAAGGAAATAGGCATGCATTAATACATGACATATCGAACACAGAGGTTGTCTTCTGAACAAATAGTATTCCATCAGTACAACATGATAAAAGCACTTATCAACATAGGCCTGAATCAGAAGCATTAATCTTTATATCACATGAATCCACATTTATGCCAGACCTCAACCATTAGCAGACACCTCAAGCACAAAATGCAGTAATTTGACCAATCAGCTCAGAAATAGGGTAAATCAGGCAAGGACACTATGGTTTATTACAGTTGTATAATTCAGATCTGTTTGTGACTTAGCAAGTGCAGTGTGAAAACAAGAATTGGAATTTGCAACCACACCATTAGCCACACCATCTGTCACATTTGGAAGGCTTTGATATATGTGCTAAAATCTGCAGACTAGCATACTCACAATGGCAATTTGCTGATGATTGCCATGTAAACATTACCACTTGCCGATTCATTTTTGGGATTTCTCTAAATAAGTGAACACTTTGACCTGCTAGAGAAAGATTTAGGTGATCACTAAAGTCAACAGTCTTTATTCAATTTCTGGCAACTAGAATGAAAACTATAGACATAAAGCCCAAACAGCAAGTTCAAATAATGCCAAGTCCAACAGTTCAATAAACTGTACCCAAAGCTGGATATAGGATTTCAGTTCCCCAGCCACAGTCTTAAAAAAATATTTTCCTGCAGATTAATTGTGCTTTTCCAAAACCAAAAACTATAAACACAAACACTATATTACACAAAATGGGCAACTTATGTACTTTATATATGTATATATGTAAAACTTTAATAAACATAATGTTGAAAAAAAAATGGGCAACTTGTGTAATGCTAAACAAAAACTTGAAAAGATTTCACTATAAATTCAGTAAAAAATCTGTAATGAGACACAAAAAGAGCATCTTCTGACTTTTCCAGAAGTAAAAGATGAGGGCTCTTTCATCAAAAGTTCAAGAATTTAAAAATTATCTTTCATTTGCGATCTAAAATACATAACATCACAGAATCCAAAGACATCTACGACCAGGGGACAGATGCGTTCAGATTCTCCAGTGAAAACCTCTACAAGTGCTCGGGAATACTTCAGCACTGTGAGTGAACACAGTTGCTGTAAAATTCTACCACGCTAAGAAAAAAAAACAAAAAAAAAACAACACAAAATTTAAACACAGCTGGGTCTTCTTTGAGCCAGAGATCATTGAAGATGGATTGAAATTCTTTATGATTTCTTTGTTTTCTGTTCTAAAGAGAAGATGTATCATTTGGCTTTCTATCAGTACAGAGTTCAAAAGCCTGCATCTGTGATGGCTGGCAGATACATTAGAGCACATTGCACTAGCTAACTTGCACATCTGTGAAGGCATCATTAATACTGAAAAGTATAAAGATACAGGTTTTGGAGCAACATATGTTCCAAACTTCAGATCACGTGTTTTTAGGGAATGCATTGCTTACTCTGGAAAGACAAAGCCAGACTAAAATTCTTAGTATTCAACTAGCTTGCCTGCAGTCCTAACCAGTGACACTTATTTTTATTGAATGTTCATGTAGGTACACTAGCTAGCTATTGGTGCTTGGGGTGACACAAAAGCCAGAAATGACTGGCACAGGGCCATCTGTTTCTACAACGCCATGGGTTGACATTTCAAACATGACTCTGCTGCAAGCATCCGCTGTGTGTGTGTCTGTGTCAGAGCAAAAAGGAATCTTCAGGGTTTTTCACTTGATTGGAGTAACCATATACATCATGCATCATGCATAAAATAAACTGGCCTTGCACAGTAACAAGGTTTTGCTATTATCTCCAGCTATTACATTTTTTTCATACCAATAGCTGATATCGAAAACACTATTTTCTTACTTGCTTCCAATTGCCATCTTTTATTAACCTGATATTCTTCTATTTTAAAATAAAATAACAACAGAACTACAAATGAAAAAAAAACATTTAGACCAAAGCTGGTTGGCAGAAGTTCAGGGATGATTGTTGAAAGGACTAAAATTACTTCTTCACCTAAATAGTTATTCCATCTTGATCGGCTGTTAAGTTTATGTACTCCACCCTTCCTTTAAATACTGTAAGAATTCTGAGGGGGAAAATTTGCTCCTTGACACTTTTTCTCTGATTTCTACTATTTACATGTAAATTGCAATGGCTGGAAGAAAGCACGCTACCACATAAAAGGAGCATTTTTGGTCAAAATAATCAGAGAACACAGTGAAAAGCTAAAGCCTAATCAGAAAGAAGTGTTGAGGCAGCAGGCAGGTTCCTGGCAGGGAGCTGTATTGCTTTTGAATACTTCTTTTTACCTTTTCCTGGATCTCCTGCTTCTCCTTTGTGGCTTCTTCCAGCTGGGCCTGCAGGTCACTGATCTGGCTTAAGTCCCTGGCAGACTAGTATGCACGTGCATGCATGCACAGAGAAAAAAAGTCAGAGAGTCAGGTGTGTTGGTGTTCATGTATGCCTCAGTTATCTGTTATATTACTGTCAATGCAAATGTCCAAGATTATATCCAAGTCAAATATTTGGTCATGTAGTCTGCTGTACAACAGATTATATCCCCATGTTTAGCTGAGAATATCCTCCAAATTTCAAAGACACTACTGGAGAAAATAATGTTAATGTTTCAAAAATAAGTGCAACTACACTAATACAAAATATACAACCAAATGCAACAGTATTGAAGAACAGCCAAGTTCTTAACAGTAGATACTTGACAAAGTTCTCGAGCTGAACGGAAGGCAATACACTCCATTTTTCTTGGCATTCAAACAGATGTTTAAAGTTTTAGGCAGGACTACCTGAGCTACCGCAGCCTTGTGTTTCTTCATCAGGTCATTCATGTCCTCCTGATCCTCCTCCATGCGTGACTGCAGGTCATTCTTCTCTCGTTGCAGACGGCTGAGCTGCTCCTCCAACTAAGGCACAAACAGAGCGAGAAACACACACTTTAGTTTAGAATGGCAGGATTTATTCATGAGCTATTGAATATGATAAATGGTCATTAGTTGGCCTGGCCGTGGCAGTCTGGGAATCTCATCTAATAGCAATGAAACACAATCTGGACAGGGTTCTGGCTGGAAGATAAGACCAATTGGAGATAATCAATTGGCTCATTTAGGCAGGGAAAAGTGCAGCCAGTGCAGCATACTGGTGATGTCCCATTTAGAGTTCATCCTCTGTGATCAGGGGGAGGCTCAGGCCTTCAATATGCATTCTCTAATCTCAGACATTTACAAGACCTTCCCTTGCCATAAATGCAGCAATTAACAAGCAAAGCACAGGCACATAGCACTCTGTGTGTCATCCCGAGAGAGACAAACATCCTCAGTCCATGAGTCTAAAATGTAGGCAGTACTCTCATGAGACACCCATTAATGAGCAAGCAAAAAAAAAAAAAAAACCCACATTCGACAAAGCTTATTTATCCATTAGAGCAAAATGTTGAAATCCGACATATGCCAAAGGGCATTTATTATTTTAATATTCCACCATGGGCTGATGATGTATGCATATTAATGTTCGAGCCCTGCTGTATTTTGAAGAGAGAAAATTTGACAGGCACCAGCCCTCAGTTAATTAAACATTGTTTGTTGTTTTTGGTTTAATTTGCTCATCAAAAGAAGGGTATAGAAACATTTATGCAAATTATTTCCCTCTCATCAAAAGTGAACATGAAAAAAGGTAAGTACATTTCATTATCTATGAATGTGTGATATCGTGCACAATATCGACTGAGTTACAGATGCAAAAACATACAGCAATAGAAACATATGCAGAACATATTGGCATTCAAGCTTAGTCAAGTGGGTAATTGGAACACAATTTGTGCGGTTCCACTTGACGACATATGTTGCACCCTCAGGATACATTGTTAACAGATGTCAAAACTTACCGACATCTTCGCTTTGACCATATCCTCCATTTGGATATGCAAGTCCTCTATTTCCAGCTCCATACTCTTTCGAGCCTTCACTGATGCTGCACAAGTAAACTCTGACTCCTCAAGCTGTGAGAAAACAGGAGGAAGAAGAGGTGTTGGGAAGGAGGTGAGGGACAAACGTTAGTGGAACTGAGCTCCAGAATCTGGGATTTTTTCATTTGTGTTGATTTGTGCATAATACACATTTCAAAGCATGCTTTCTGTTGTTGTATCATTAAGTATATTACACATCCGTGCTATGTTGGGCGCAGGCAGATGCCAAAATGTTCAAAGGGATGTACTTGATTTTTGAGCTGAGTGATCTCCCTCTTGCTGGGGGCATTACTCTTCAGGTGGTCCAGCATAATCTGTGCATCAGCCAGAAGGACTTTGGTTCTCTTCAGGTCTTTCCTGAGCCTCTTCTCTGTCTCCACATCCCTCTGGCTCACCTGAATGACAAACCACTCCTTTATAGCCCAGCATCGTTACTTTCCTCCTTGAAAACCTATAGCAACCCTTGAGACTCAAAAGCATTTTCTTTCCAATCAAAACAAGTGGCAGACACTAAATTGCACAGACTTGACTACACGGACATGTTCAGAGTAATGACAGTACCTGGTCCTGAGCATTCAGCAGTTTGGATTCCAGCTCTCGTCTCTCTCGCAACACTTTTTGCTTGTCTTCATACTCCTCCTCCAGCTGTACCTCCATCTGTTTCAGCTGTAGAACACACAGAGTGTCAAGATGCACAAATGCTGGATCCATGATAAAGTCAGACATTACACACCATCGACCGTCCTGCTAGACACGGCTGCTCTCAAAGACAAATAGATCCCCCAAAAGCAGACCTGGTAGCCTTAAGAATAATCACACATGATGCTTCATTATGTCAAATTTAAAAAAATTTAAATATAGAAATCCATTTAACTTCTTTCTACTTAATAAGACACATGGAATAAAATAACAGTTTAAAGAATGCATTACATTTGCAGTTGCAATGACTGCCTTGCAACTGTAAGAAGCCATTGCAGTTTACATCCATGACTATCCAGACTCACTTCAATTTGACGGACACCAAGTCTAAACCATTAAGATCAAAAGCCAATTTGTTTTTTCATATTAGATAGTTCTATAAAATTCTCAAACCTATAGCAACAAATAAATCCTATAATTATTTCTGCCTCCAAATTAAGACACATCAGTCACTGTGACATTTGACCAAAACTGAACTAATTCAAAATGTATACAAAGTTTCAAAAAAATTCCCTGAAGGCATACAGCAGAAACAGTGTCCACAAATTGTGGGACAGATGGATGGACATCCAAAAATCCCTGCCCACAGCTATAACTCGTAGGGAGGCATAAAGCAATACAGCATGTGTACCTAGATGAAGTGAAATTAAAGTAATGAATTCAGGAACTTCATAAACTGGGCTATGTAAAGAGAAAATTTAATTATTCAATTATTTCTTTGTTGTAACAATCATTTTAGTAACAAATCTCATATCTTTGGGAAGCCTGTTTATTTCCCCTTTAATGGTGCAACATTTGTAAGGAAAATTCATTTGTAGGTTGAGCAGCAGAGTTGAGTAGGTAGGTTGTGCCCATAAAAAATAAAAATAAAAACTTGCTAATAGCTCTCTACCCAGGTAGTCCAGAAAAGACTTCACACTTCCATCTAATAGGGCTGCTAGGAGGCCTGCCATGACTGCCCTTCATGGTCAGGCCCCTTTGCACTGGTGTCTGCAACATTTGCACTGGCACCTGAAAATGTGGAAGAACATTATGTTCAAAGATAGACTGCCGTAGGCAAAATCTGGACCTATCATAGATTCAAATAGCAGAGAAGATGTGGAGAAAACTATTCTGATTGCTGCACCGATAGGGTAACAGCTTTTAATGGAGGCAGTGTGATAGTGTGGTGGAGCATCTTCCTCACAGAGAAACAGAGAGCGAGGTTTATCAGAGACTACCTACAGCATAGGTGTCAAACTCTGGCCCGCGGGCCAAATTTGGCCCGCAGCCTAATTACATTTGGCCCGCGAAGCCATACCAAATTACTATTAGAGCTGGCCTACTGGTATTATACAGTTAATATATATATTGTTTAGTATTAAGCTTTGCTTGTTCCATATTCAGTTTTTCAGCAAAACTTGTTTGAGTCCATAAGAAAAGATTCATTCTTATATCTGGAGGAAGATTTTTTTTTCAATAAATATTAACGTTAGCCCGCTACTTTGTTCCAGTTTTGAATTTTGGCCCACTGTGTATTTGAGTTTGACACCCCTGACCTACAGTATTTGGGGAGTGTAGAGGATGGAATGGTCTGTCTGCAGTGCTGACCTCAACTCCACTGAACATTTGTGGGATCAGCTTGGACATGCTGTTTGTGCCAGAGTGACCAACACAACCACACTGGCTGACTTGCAACAAATGCTGGTTGAAAAATAGGATGCCATCCCACAGCAGTGTGTGACCAAGCTGGTGACCAGCATGAGCAGGAGATGCCAGGCTGTGTATGGCTTTTCTACATAGTACCGAGTTCCCTTTTTGCTAAATGAAAACATTTTTTAATTGCCAATAGGTTGTTTTTTCAGACTTCAATCATAGACTTCAATAAATGACACCAAACAAGAGTCAATAGCAGAATAAACACTTTGGCACTGGCAGAAAAGATTTGGCAAGTCTTTCATGGGCACAACCTACATACTCAACTGAGGTGCTAAACCCACAGATGCATTTTCCTTACAACTGTGACACCATTTCAGGGGAAATAAACAGGCTTTCCAACAGTATAAGATTTATTGCTCAAAAGCATTGTTACAACAAAGAAATCATCAACATAAATTCCCTTATTTTTTGCGCTTTCAATCAAGCATGAAAAAAGTGTGTTACTGAGTACTGCAGTAAAAACAGCCCTGAGTAAATGTTAGTCAACAAAAAAAGGCCATAAATAAGAAAAAAACTGCAGAAATTGCAAGAATGATTAGTGGCTACCTTCTTACTGCAAGATCTCCTGATCTCCTCTACGTCTTCATCTTTACTCTCAATCTCTTTAGAGTGGGTCTGCCGCTGCCTCTCCATCTCCATCTCAAGCCGCAGCTTAGTCTGAAGACATAACATATAAATGACATGTGAGACAAACATGTATTAGAGAGAGAGATACATATGCAACAATTAGCAAGAAGAACTCCTCGCTGAACCATATTTGCACCCCTCTGTACCTGCTCCAGCATTTGGATGTTTCCAGCCTGTTCATCCAGCTCCTCCTCCTGGTCTTTCACCTTGGCCTCGAGGTCACGAAGCTGCTTCTTGACCTTGGCAAGTGAGGCCTCATCCTTTGACTCTTGGGAGGACAAATCCTGTAGCTCTGCCTCCAGTTGTTGCACCTTTACATTCATGCCACACAATTCAGTGTCCTTGTCCTGCAGGCAGAAGGCATGCTGTAAAACATACATCTGGACCAGCCTAGTTATATCATACAGAGAGCAGAAACATCAGACATGTTGTCCCCAAGAGAGGGCATTAGAGTACATGTGGAGTATGTAGTGGAGAGAAGCCTACCTGCAGCTGCTGGCGGAGGTTAAACATCTCACCAGTCATTATGTCTTTCTCTCGAGCCAGCTTCTCCCTCTGGCTCCTTTCCCTCTGTACCTCAGCCTGAGCCTGGTTCTGCTCCAGGTCAAATCTGGAAAACACACACACACACACACACACACAAAAAAAAATGTTGGTTTTACACAATCTCAACAATAACGTAGCCTTATCAGTTGAATGTGGTAGGAAAGATTTTTAATTACACAGTACAGTTTTAACACTATCAAACAGGGAAATTGGCAGGCACAACTAATACCCATTTTATATTTTAAACTCTAAACTAACAAATCAGCTTAAAGAAAGATCTGTCAGAAATAGATCTCTGCATCATTCATTTCTGTGCACAGTATGTTACTCAGAGAATTTGACTTTGTTATACGGGAGGCGCCAGGCTATCATCGGTTCTATTTTAGCCTCCACTTCTGTCCCCCTCTAATAGCCATCAATTTACCATTGGGTTGTAATAATGTGCAAAATGTTTTCTTCAATTGTCTAGGGCAGAAACACTTATGGTTAGTGAACTTAACAGCTAAGTGTTTCATGCTGTCAGCTTGTTGTAATTCTCTGTTTTTCTCTCTGAAGCGCAGCCGAAAATAATTTCACCCACAGAGCATCTTCAATTAGCCACAGGGGAGAGATCACATTCTGCCACAGTGATAGCTTCTCAAGTGCTTAAAGTCTTGAGTCATTTTCTCAGCTAATGCAATTCCACAGATTACAGAACATCTCAGTCACTGTTCAAATTAAAGAAAACTTTAGCATTAGGCGAGTAGACCAGTGCTGCTTAATCCGAGGAGAAAAGAGCTATATGCTCTCTGCAATGTGTGTTTATGCAAGAGAACAGGACAGGCAGTTGAACTGACTTCCTCTGCTTCTTCTCCAGATCATGGTTGCGACTTTGCAGGCCCTCCAGATGAAGCTTGGTGTCCTGCAGCTCGGCAGTCAGTTTCTGGCACTTTTTCTTCAGCTGCTGCACAGAGCGCTGCAAATCCTCATTATCCGTCTGCAAATCAGCCAGCTGCAACACACACACACACACACACACACACACACACACACACACACACACACACTTCTTTAATGAAAGTGCAACACCTAGTATTACTATTACATTTCCACAATTAAAATGTTATAAGTGTGAGACAAATTAATTTAGATTTTTTTTATTATTATTATTTCAAGTTGTAATTTGCTCTTGCCTTTCTCTCTACATGTCTTTTGCTCTGCTGTTCCGTCTCCAGCTTGTCATCAAACTCCTGCTGAAGTTTCTTTTTGGCAAAGTCCATTTCACGAACGGCTCGATTGTATTTTATCCGCCACTCTCCTCCTAGAGGAAAGACATGCAATTCAGAAAATGTCTGTGTGACATTTGAGCATTTCCTGACTTTAATGCAGGTCCAGCCAGGTACACAGAGGAAGAGGCGTAAAAACCACAGACATGATGGATGCGTGGGATTATGGAGTGCACTGCACTGGCTGCGATGATTATCACATTCAAAGACTGAAATAAAATAATCTTTCTGGAAATAAAACTTTTGCTTAATCAGATGCTGAACTTACAAGGTCAAGGTATTCAACAGGAAACTACAAAGAAGGCTTTGTGTTTTAGCTCTTATCTTGAATAAACCTGAGATAGGAATTCAGAGCACACCACAACAGTAGTTAGAGGAGGACATGTCTAAGTGGCACTTTCCACAGTTCTTAGGCGACCTTAATTCTGGAGCTGTCATAGGCTATCAGAACTATAACAGCAGCCAGACAGACATTTGGGTTCAGGTTCATTTCCAAGCCTTATCATTTTAGAGGCTGTCCACTTCTCCTTCACATACCAACACGGGCTCCTCCATCAGTTCTGCTCATTAGCATATATATAGCATAATGACAACTTGCAGGGCCACCAGCTCTGATCCCACCGATTACTTTCTCATTCATCTAAGAATTCTGATATGCTCTGTAATGGCTTGTCTGCTGAGGTGGGTTGAAGGAGGTGGGAACACAGATATCAAAAAAAAAAAAGACCCATGGACAATATGCTCTCAGCAGGCGCTCTCTTTCCCAGCAGGGGGAGACCAATCAGAAACAAGCATTAGTTGTATGCCTGGGAGCGGACATCCTAATCTCCTAGCGGTTAATCCTAAACTTGGAAAATATACTTAACAGTATTATGCAGGATGTGACCAAGTCTTACTGCCATGTCTCCTGCTGAAACAGCTGAACAAAGCCATTCATTCCTGCAGCTACAATTAGTATAAGGGAGATTTTTCAAACTGTGCACATAATGCTGGTCTGAGTGGTTCAGTAAATTATGCTTCTGACCTGAGCTGACATGCCCATTAGGCAGGCTTAGGCAAGCTGCTGAAAGTGTCGCAGGGTGCAATTAATTAGGGAATTTAAAACAAATGCTTAAAAAACACTGATGACCGAGACTATGTTATTCAAAAAAACAGAGAAAAGTTTCTCTGAATTATCTTCAAATTCGATCTTGCATGTAGCAATCTCTGGTGTCACGACCAAATGTTAGATATCAGTGTCTTGCTCTACTAACCAGCATCTTCATCATCATTGTCCATCTCCCCATTTAGCTCTGATGTTTTCATGAGTCGTGCTTCCATCACCTCCATCTCCTGCGATTCTAACTGTTTCTTCATGGCATCAAACTTTGCCTGGAATGCACAAATTCAGTCAATAATCACGCAGAGCATGTCAGTCATAATAAACTGAACTTCAGAATTACTATAAATTTTAAGTGTGCATCTTTCATATATATATTTCATGTTTATTTGCCTGTAGATCCTTCATATCTTTCTCCAAGCGCAGTCTCTCAGAAGTCTCAGCCTCCAGCAATTGGGATGCTGACTCACTTGTGCTTCTCTCATCAGCGAGCTCTGCCAGCAAGTCTGCGATCTGATCACAAACAGGCAGACGCACACGGGGTGTTATGCAAAGTTGCAAACTACTGGCCACAGTTCCTGTGCAAGTAGGTAATCAAATCTTTAACTAAAATAAAGAGTGCAACTGCACCATAAATCTCCAAAAACTATCCCTAATGCACTACCATAGGCAGGGGGACCCACCCTGCTCTCCAATCGATCTGTATTGAGTCTCAGCTCATTTCGTTCCTTCTCCACTCTCTCAAGCTTCAATTTCTGCTGCTGAATCTCCTCCTGGAATACAGAATATAGCTGTTTTATATCAGATACATGTTATGTTATGTTGGAGGTCAATGTCAACAGTGATGACAGTATGTAGAATAGTGCAGACACGGAATGCATTTAAAAATATATTAAATCCTTAAAGATTCAACAGGTTGTGTGAGGTTTGCTCACATCTTTGCTCCGCATCTGGTCCTCTGTGAGCTGCACTTTAATGAGGGGCTGCACTGTGGTAAAGAGCTTCCACCATGGCCAGTCCTTCACTCCACGGTTCTTCTTGATGTTTTTTTGAATACAACGGATGGCTAAATCCTGAATCTAAACACACATATGGAGAGTCAGTCACCAAAGAGAAATCTGTGAGAGTGCAGGCAGTTATTTGCACAACAAAATACAAACTCATATTGAATGTCAATGGCATAAAAGTGATGTAATTACTTCCAAATTTATCTGTAAAAGATCCCCTATTATGACCTTACAACCAGCAACAATGCATGTAATATGCAGCACCAATAGCTTGAATGCAGACAAATTGTTTGCACAGGTACCACATGGAGGCAGTATCCAGACTAAATGCTGCTTTTATATAATCACTGGAATAAGTACTTTCCAAACTCTACCGTTACCATATCATCCGCACCATTGATGAACAATATTTGAAAATAACTACATTCTTCTGCTATATTGCATATGTATGGGCAAGCAGATATCCCGGGACTTGCCAACCTCCACTAGAGAGTTTCCGCCGAGTGTGTTCCAAGGCTGGAAGCTAATTTTTGATTAATTAAATCAAACATTTTGGCAGCTAATTCCAAGTATTACACGATTTCCATGCTGCTTATGCATGAGGCTCTCTAGCAGCAGCAGATTATGGGCAAACCCAATTAGAGCAACACAATTCTCAGCATCAGGTACATTTTGCCCTGAAGGTACTCTCTATGACCAATTAGGATTTGTCACACAGTGAAAGCCTTAACATGGAGCAAAATGCTGCAAATCTCTGACAGAAGAATTAAACAGGTCTCACTTGTCATATCTAGTCTATAATGAATAGGAAACAAACAAAAGATTATACAACATGAGCACTGTGGATAAATATTTTGGTATTCATATCACATTAACAAGGTGTGACAACTGTAAGACAGTGTGAAGTGAATGAAAAATTTGAACCAAGGTTAATAAACAAAAAGAAAAAAAAAACACTACATTCTTTTCCAAATATTCTATACATGTATTTCGGGTTTGATTGTCTGTATACATGTAAGACTTACTGTATATGTATTAGATATTAGATACCTGCAGCAAAGTCTGAGCATAAAGTTGCCATTTAGTAAATAAATGAAGCAACATCGGTTTCTAAGGATTGCTTCATTATAAACAAACATAAGCTATAAGCTTTATCATTCTGGCTCTTTCTACACTTTGTACATTATTCATTTTTAACCCTAAGCTAAACCAAAGACATATCTTATAGCAATGCACTGCATACTGATACCTTTACAACTGCAACTATAAAGGTATCATCTGCGCTTTGATTCAGAACCATGGGAATGCATGTTTCAAATGAAAAAGATATTCTGTAGAATCCCCCGCCTGAGCTCAGCTGTGTGCTGATTCCATGCAAATAATTCTAAAAACTACATTTGTAGGGTACCTGAAGGACAAAGCTCCCAATATGGCAAGTGCCTGCTGAGGCAAAATAACAGACTTTTAAAATGTCAGGTTGTCCCCTTGAGGAGACAGTTGAAAGGGGAAAGAAAAAAAAAAAAAGAGGAAAAATTGTGGTTTTGTCATTTAATGTCACATGGGCTTGGCACAGCTTCACAAGGTTAACATGCCAGAGAATATCAATCAAGGCAACTTGTGACTTCCTGTCACATCCATATACATCAACCAGTAGCTGTCTGAGAGCTTCACCAGAACTCACTTGCACTATTCCAGAGGCAAATTACCATCTACTGTACATGCTAAGACTGGATACTTCAAACAGTGTAAGAGGCAATGAAGACCAGATCTGTTTTCGCAGAGGGATATCAGGGAAACAGCAAGGGTGCCAGTCGATGTTATTATACAGTGATTATTCTAAGACTCGACAACAACACACTCTGCAAATCTTCACAGTAAGAGAACGAGAGATGGAAATTACTCAATATTCGACACATCCCTGCATCCTCCCCAAGTCTGGTGTTGACTAATTGAATCAGGAATAATATAAACAGAATGATAATCAGGGGAAAAGATGCCCTTCAGATAATTATTGCAAGGAGAGACTGTATTTACCATGCATGCAACAGCTGTATGGGAATAAATTGTTGGTTAGAAAAAGGCAGAAAACGGGTAGCAAGGGGCTGCAAAGCCACTTTCAGAACAGCATCTTTCTTGTAATTTCTCTACCAAGCACAGTTTTATATCTCTCACTGCTGAGTACAGAAACTGACCTAATATTATTAAAAGCTTTAGTATTTTATGACTAGTTTTGAAGTGTTTGAAAAAAAAAAAAAAAAGAAATTCAATAACTACATGACGTCCATTCATTTATCATTTCAAGTGTGGAATTTTTTAATGCAAGTTTAGAATAGAGTAATAAGCCAGTTAACTTAGCTTAACTCAAGGACTAGAAACAGAAGGAAATATTTAGTCTTGTATGGTTTTAGAGAGGCTATATGACCACCTTGGCGGTAGAGGGCCCTTACAAAAGGCTCCAAAGAGTTTTGTTACCCTTAGACTCAGGCTAGCAGTTACTCTCCGTTTTTTTTTGTCCTTAATCTCTACCTAGGATGCTGCTAGCTGTGTGGTCTGCTTTCATTGGGAATAACTCAAGTTCTTTTGAACTGAATCAAAATGAATTGGTTTGTGGATATGAAAGTAATGTGCATTAAAATGTCCACAGCTTAAATAAACCTCTGCAACCCTGACTTGATGAGGGGTGCGTCATAACTGCATATTTCCTGTTACCTTGCCAACCTAAGTTGAGTTTGAGATAAATACAATTGAGATGAAATAAAGTCTCATCTTTCTATTATAGATACATGTGCAGGAGGGAGGGGGCTAAAGAGGGCAGAGGAAAAAATTTTTCTTTGCTAATGGATTTTGTAATTGCACAGTTGCCTAGCAATTTTGAAAGGATCCTTGGTGTTGATTTTCTTCAATTTCTAGCCATTGTAAAGCAACAGGCACTTACCCTGCTTTGCTGTGTAAATAATCACTTCTGAACTTGATAAAGAAAATGTATTGGGGTTCCAATTTTAGACCAACATACATTTAAGTATTTGATTTAAAAAGAAAGGTACCAAAATATAATATCTGAAAGTCCAGATATTTTAAAGGTCAATTTGATTTACCTCATTACAACATTGACAATGTAACAATTGACAATGTTTGACTGGCATCATATTACAACTAAACAACATGCGTGCTTCCTAACAGTATGTCATAGTGGATGGAGAGATAAGTAATGTAATTCCATTTCTGCTGGTTCATCACAGCCCAGCTGAAGTGGCACATTCACTTAAATAGTACAACGTAATCATAGAGGGAGAAAAGTACTGCAGGGCTCTATACATCACAAGAGGACACATGAGGTCCAGAGAGATAGACTCACACAGGTCCTGGTAGAAAAATGGAAGATGGATGGAATGGATGGGTATGAGAGTCAGCAGCATGTTTGATAAGGCTACAATTCAGGGGAGTGGACTGATAAAATGTCACAGAAATGGAAATGTCACAATCAAATATCGCCTTGGGAAAGCTGATTGGATGGATTACAACGAGGGATGGGGTACAGCCAATAGATTCAGAGAACCTATTTGCAATTAGCTGAAGATTTACAGCAGGGCTGGTTATATCTACCCCAAGAACAGAACAAACTAGATCTAAAATTGGCTCTCAATTCTGAAGTGCATATCCTTCACCTACTTGACCTACTTCATTTTGCTCAGCTGTGCAAAAACTAAAAATAAAACAATAGACAGTGTGTTGCAATTACATTCTTTTTTCCAATTAAAGTGAATTCATTCAAGTTTCTCCCCTTCAAACTTTGTTGACAAAAACCTGTCACAGTTGTATTTAGGCTTCAGTTAAGATTACGACAACATTTGGACTGCTCGTTTCATTTCAGTATAGAATCCTGCATACCTTTCTCTTCTTGAAGGCTTGCCGAGCCAGGTAACCTCTACAGGCAGCTTGGAAGAGGGTTAGATTGCACTTGGTCTGCTCATCCCTCTGTTCCTCCAGCTTAGCCAAGGTTCCAGCTCTGAAGAACAGCTATAACAAGAAACAATCATACACAGATGCTTATTAGCAAAGCGTAAAACAGTTCAGACAATTTAATGGTTATTTTAGATATTATGAGATTTAGAGGCCCTGCTTTAATGTCAACCCCAGCAGCACAGTTAAAACAGAGGGGAGTTAAAAGGTAAATTAATGCACTGAAGCAACTAATCAATAAGAAACAGTTTAATCCACAGTCAAGTGAGTCTTATCTAAGTGAGAACCCGGGTGATTAAGTTATCTCGAACAATCAGCCTTGTCCATTTCTAATCTAGGGCAAAGGTAAAAAAAAAAAAAAGAGGTAAACAGACAAAGGAAAGCACATTATGTCATAGCCTGTTTATACCCAAGAAGGATTTGGTACCATGATACATTCCAGATATGATGGCAGGAAGCTATTAAAATGGACAGGATGACCGCGCGCACACACACACACAAACACACACTTTCTCAAACTAAGGTCGCTCTACAAAGTGTCCATGCTCCTTAAATTCCAAAATCCATATATAATATGTTAACAAAGCAAGAGCTGGGAATCATCAAACTGTTTTAGCAAGCAAATCTATAAAGCAGTAGCAAAGAAAGATACATTCAATGGTATCAATGAATATTAATTAAAACTCTCAAGGCAAAAAATAATCTGTTATTCTTTTATTTTTATTTTCAAAATTGCATGCAGGCATCATGTAGTAGCTTTATGCAGCTATGTTCCTTTCAGGCATGTGGCTATCTCTAATGGCAGATTTTGTCCAGTCAAGAGCTTCTCATTCACTGCTTTTAGTTGGTTTGGTGTAATTGGCATGCAAGTGAGACAGGTTGCCAAGACACCACTGGAATGCTTTGTGAATGGCCAACTGTGCATGTCTACTTCTGAGCCCATTTCACACTCCAAAGTGTGGCACCATGTGAAGCCGCCTCCAAACCATTCTTTTGTCATGTGTTTTATAAAAGGGCCATGCACACCGTACAGTATCTTGGAGCATAAGTCCCCCTCTTTTGTACTTTACTGTTTGATTTCATTTTGACTGATGGCCGCTTTCCAGCTGATAGGATTTAATGTGCATTTTGAAGCAATGTTTACTGTGCAAATCATACTAAGGTTGTGGTGAAAAACAGAATGCATTAAGAGGAGAAATTTGCTCCAATAACCTGAAAAAAAACATAGTAAATATGGTAATATATATGGGCAAGGTAGAGACATGACTCTTGGGTAACCACTGGCTAAATAACTTGAAGAAGGGACAAGGCTTGGCAGGTCTCCAATAAAGGATGGCAAACAAGCCTCAAAGAGGAACAGGTGTACTGAAAGACACACATCCCCAGACAGCAAGTGTCATAAAAAAAAAGAGTTGTGTACTACTGCTCTGTGGTGAGAATTTCAAAACAGACGCAGAGCAATTCATAGCAAATGTTTATTCAATACATTTTTAAAGCTGTTCATTTGTTTGTGATGTGTGGGCATTACTCACCCTGCTCAGACCCATGTGGTAACTGCTCTTCTCCAAATCCAAGGACTCCAGAAGCTCCTCTACAGCCTGAGTAAATGCATACATGCACACAAACACACATTCAGCCTTTCAAAAGGTGGATCCAGTGGTGCTACTGACACCATAACAATAGAGCGGTCTACAGTTCCCCCTTATCTGTCATGTTTAATAACTACAGTGCACTTTTTCCCCTCTTCTCTCACTCTGGATTTTGTTTTAAAACCAAGTCGGGATGCAAAAGAAAAAATACAACAAACCAATTACAACTTGCCCCCTAAAATCCACCTGCACCTAGTCTATTCATCATGATCCCCTGTTTTTCTTGACCTAGTTGCAGCTCTGAACACACACATCCCATGTAGAGTTACACCAACCCAAACACTGGAGCCCCCCCTCTCCCTGTTCAGCCTGTGTATACTGTCCGTCTATTGTTGTCTGAGCCTCTTCTCTCTACTTGAGACTCCACTTTGAAAGACCACATCTAGATTACACCAAGAGAGGTTTGCCACGAATACTGAGGGGCTTTTGTTTGCCAGTGTTTCCACAGAAACTCAGCTCCAACACACTGACACAGGGGAAAGGAGTTATATTCACCCCTACCCACATTCTCTACCTTGCTTTCTTATTTCTCTGCAGAAAGAAACTTCTGTATTTTTCTCTACTAGTCTTCAACTCATGTTTCTTTCATAGGTCTTTATAATGAAGCTCAAGCCATCCACATTTTTTATCAATTTAAATTAAAACCAACAAAAGCAGTACTGTCACAGTGTAATAACCATGGCATTTAGAAAAATAGGCATTTTTATTTTTGTTTGCAGTAAAGCACTTTCTAAGCCCTGATATTGATCAGCTTCTTTCACAGGCATTATAGTGATGAAGTTAAGCTGATTAGGTCTTTACTATTAGCCCTGATGAAGCTTTATGTCTCTGTCAGTAGGCTGCTGACATCAGGCTGTTGAGATCAGGTCATGAAGCTGCCTCCTCACATCATCAATCTTCACTGTGCTTGGCTAGCGGCACAGCTGTACATTTTACTCCCTCTCTCAGTGACTGACTTACTCTCTTCTCGTCCTTCACTATATAATTTCTTCCGTGCTTCTTGGTGAGATGCGGTGCCAGCACATCAAAGCGCCGTCGGAACTCAGAGAACACCATGTGATCAGGGTAACCTGTGAAAACCGGCATTGAATAAGATTTAATCTGACAGCCTTTTTTTTTTTTTTAATACACATGGACAAGGGGGTATGTTTGCTTTACCTCACCTTGTCTGTAGATTCTTAAAGCATCAAGCAGCTTAGATCCACGTATCTGAGCACGGAGCAAGGCTACATCTAGCTGCATTAAGCTAGGATCTCCACTCTCCCCTTGAGCCTCACATTCCACTCCTTTGAACAGAGATCCACTCAGCGCCTTGAGGGCATCCGCCTTGGGCAATATGCAGTGAACAAACTGAATCCTGGACCTCCGCAACATGTCAAGAAGCGCATCCTGAAAAGGACAGAGCAGGATTATAAGCAGCCTGGTGGGAACAGGTCAAGAGTTAATGCAGCGTCTTCTAATAAAGCACAAGTTAAGGTTTTTAGTTTTTGACTCTCTTGTTGAGAAATATGTTCTTCTTAAAAGTAGTGGTACTGATAACAGCATTAGTAGTAGTAGTAGTAGTAATAGCAGCTGTTTTGAGCTGCTCCCATATTCACAAGGGCTCACCACACCAGGTAGCTCCACATGTTTATTTTTTTTAAATAATAAATAAAACATAAAACACTAGATGCTCTTTCTAATGCAACACCAAAGTAATGTCTCTTCAAGGGACTGAAACAGGATTCTTCTTTGGCAAATGTGTAAACCGCTACACTATGCAGCCACTAAAACAAAACTTCTTAATGGCCTAATGTCATTTTCTCTGTTGTCGCTAAACAACTGGCCTCTACTTCATTTATAAGACTTCAGGTAGAGTCAAAAACAAATTTAAAACTTCTCATATTTACAACAGCATGTTTTGTTGTGCCTTGTGGTGCCCCACATCCCCAAGTAGCCATCACACCCTATGCTCTCACCACTTGAAGTTTTATCTGAATGCACAAAGACTTCTTCTTGATGGCAGCTACTCCTGTGACGAAGGATTTCCTCATGCTAGTAGCCCGGCGCAAAGACAGCTGGGAAACACCTTCAAGGCCAGCAACAGACCCGGACAAAACTGTGGTTCCACCTGTGCGGTTCATGAGCAATGAGCCGATGATCTTTCTGTAAGAGATGCCGTAATTCAGAGTGTGATAATTCAAGTCTGCAACACCAAGGAACAACAACTCCTGCATGGTGGATACTTACTTCTGCGAGTCTTGTAGGAGGGACGCAGCATTGGTAGAGGCGGGATTCTGCTTGGCATAGCTGAGCCACCCTCGTGCATCATACTCCACCCAGTCTGTCCCATGGCTGTGGCCCAGCAGGAAATTATGATCTTTTTCACTTTTCAACAGGAAAGTGTGACCTAAAGTAAATGGGGGATCCAGTGTAAAATGTATTAGATACATATACAGCGAGATAATGAGAAAAATCATATTCAAGACTTCAGAAAGGGGTTTACTGTCTGCATGAGTTTAACAAAGCAAGTAAATTCATCACATCCTAATTAGTCTGGTGTGTGCCGCCTGTCACAAACCTGCATAGATTTTACTGATAAAAACATCATGATGAACAGTCTGTTCCTAGTAAACCTTATTGTTTAATGGGCCACTTTATCCGTGTAGTTTTAGTGTGAGACATTTAGATCCAACCATACTCCACTTTCATAGACAATATAACTGTCTGCCACAAGCATGATGTACTAGGTCATCAGAGAGCTGATAGACGAAACAGAGGAGCTCAAATCTGACCTATATGAAGAGTTTTAATGAGAATTCTGAAGCTGAGTGGCTCCATAGTGTAGTGGTTTACACATTCGCCTAGCAAATGAAAGCTCCCTTATTTGATGCTAGGAGGAGACAAATCCCTTTGGGGCTGCGTCAGGAAGGGCAACGGGCGTAAAAAAAAGAAATAAATAAATCTGCCAAATCGAAGCTGTGGAGCTACCCACTGTGGCGACCCCTTGTGAATAAGGGAGCAGCCAAAAGTAGCTTTAATGAGAATCCACCAGCTGTTGTTTTGGAGTACTAAAATGACAATTTGCGTACCATTTTCTAGCTCTATTAGGGAACTTTTTAAAAGCTTCAGTTCTTATTGTTAGAGAATTGCTAAGAAACATATGAATCGGATATCTGTGACTGCTCTGCAGAACAACAGCAACTGGTCAAATTAAACGAGATATTGTGATTTGGAAATTCCATATTATAGTATAGCTTTAATGAGCTCATTTAAACTGAGACAATACAGCGTACTATAAAACAAAAGGGGAGTTTATATATACCCATACAATATATAATGTTAATGAACGTCTTTGTTTTTATTTATTTTTATTCTTTTTGAAAATGAAAATACAAGGATTTTCTGTTCATTTCTGAGAAGATCACTATTTGTATTAGTGCAACCTTATGCATGTGTGTCTGTGTGTGCATCTTCCCCTTGCCTTTACTCTCGCCCTCAGCAGGTCCATAGTAGCTAAACAGGCGTCCCAACAGTGTTTCCTCTGAACCCCCAGGCTGCAGTGCCTCCTCCTCCATCAACCACAACAGACCCCGGGCCTCATCTGTTCGCACTGTCCGTACCTGTCCCCACACACACACACACACACACACACACACACACACACACACACACACACACAATATTCTGTTTTACCTTTATGACCCTCTATGCAAAAGATTTTACAAAAGGAATGTCAAACATGAGTAATAAACATCTAGTTCATGTTAGTGTTTAATGGAATATATTGATGAGTCACAATATATTTAAGATATTATTATCCACCTCCTACAAACAATAATGACAAAGCAATAAGTATTAATTATAAAAAATATCCTTCAAATGCCTGGTGCTGGCCTCTGTAGTGAGCGTTTGCTTACATATAAACCATTCTAAATGTCAGCGAAAATACTTTGCCCTCTGTTTTCCCAGTCTGAGCAGTGTATCACAGACATGGTGATATTGTTAGCAGCGGAAATTTAAGTTTCAATAGCATTTGTGATGTGAGCATACTTTTAGCAGTTTACTGCAATAATACCGTCATAACAGTTTTAACTTATTCCACACAATTAGAATGGGGAAAATGTGGAAAGTATAAAGGGAGAAAATTTTAAATAATGCAATTAGTTACACAATTAGCATGTCATTGTTGAATAAGGGTATGCCAAATATATGTCACCATAATACATAACACACTGAAGCGTTCACTTTTAAGTCAGAGACATTGAGCATAACCATCTTGTTGTTCAAGCTCATGAGAAAGGTAGCTACTGTCTAAATCCACCCTGGGAACTGTGGCTTAAGAAGCAAATCCACAAAACCAAAAAATGCTTTAGCAGCCATCAGAAGTTGCACTGGAGACATCCTTATCAGCAGTGCACACTACGCTGACTACAAATACAAAACAGGTTATCAGTTTGGAGAAGACATGTGACAACTATGAGGCTTGCAATGAATCAAGCATTAAGGCTGTTTGTGATAACAGATGTCTGAGCTACAACAGGAAAAAAAAATATCTGTGAGGGGAAAAAAAAAAAAAAAATCTTTGATCAAAATGTCTTTGCACTCTAAACAGCATAGATCTTTATAGCTGACTTTAGAAATGACTTTGAAGAATCTGTGTTATTTTTACCCTTCGGTTTTTAGTGTGATGTACTACAGTTCACTGCTTTTGATGACATTCCCATTAGAGTGGGGACCCTTTAAAAAGTAAAGCACTCAAACCAAACACATTGGAATTACAGCAAAGTGATCTATGGACTCTCTAAACTCGGCCATTTCTGTTTCCATGGTGCAGATCATAGGCTGGAAAGGCCAAACATTGATTTTCTTTCTTGAAGTCAATTCTCTAACCTTTCTTTTCTTGCTCCCACCCTCTCTTTCTAGTCTCTGCCAAACAAGTCTAACATAGAGAGAAGTCTTCTGATGCTTAGAGACATTCAATTTTTTTCTTAATTAAAAAAACAATATATTGTACCCAGGGATTAACATTAACATCTGAAAATCAAACATTTTATGGTACTAAAACCAAGGGAAATGAGAAATTATGCAAGTTAGATGTGTGACAATAAAATGAAGAAAGACAATAAAACAAGCGTACCAGTGCTTGACTCGAAGCTTGGTCTACCACTGCCACAGACAGAGACGTGCTGGTTTCTGTGTCGTCTAAGGAAAGTTCTATGTTTTCCTGGAGGACAGCAAAGAGATTGACAAACTAATGACCTATGATGTCAAAAAATAGGATTTTGAATGCTAGGCCATTTGAAACCCACTGTCATAGACCAATAAGTTAGCAAAATATATATTTTTTTAGTTTTGAACTATTTACAGGATAAATGGGAAAGCGACAGAGAGCAGAAGATTTTTAGAGAAGCAATGGTACAGTGGTTAGAACTGCTGCCTCACAGCCAGTAAGTTCAAGACCTACCATCCAGCTGGGGGTTTCCTGTGTGGGTTCTCTCTGAATACTCTGGTGTCCTCCCACAGTCCAAAGACATGCATCTTAGGTGCACTGGTGATTGTAAATTGCCCATAGGCCTGGTTCTGAGAATGTCTAATTATCCGTTTCTATGTGTTAGCCATGTCAATGACTAGCAACCTGTCTAGAGTGTACCTTGCTTTTTAGCATATAACAGCTGTCACAGTCTCAAGTCTTTATATTTTACCACAGCTCCAAAATGTAATAGCATTTTATAGGTTAACTACAACTATTTTAACTTGGTTTAAAATAAAAAAAAAAGAACAAATACATTGTTATTAAGCCATAAAGATTTGACCATTTTGGTTGCAGCTCCATTAGTCATTTCTAGATTAATGTGGCACATGATAAAAATTATCTGAGATAAAGCTATAGCTATAAAGATTAAGAGATAAAGTAACAGTGCATGGTAACAGAGTGGATCATGCTCCAGAAAGGGGAGAAAATGCTGGCATGCTAATAATGTGGCCACGACAGATGCCAGTGTTCAAGCTGACTGTGTATGTGAAGTCTCTCCACTGATTTTTGTTCTCTGCTGCGGAGAGTCCATGTACAGAGGAACGCAAAAAACAGAAAAAAAAAAATACTAGCCAGAAAGCTAGAGCGCCCAACAGCAATTTATTCAAAAATATAAAGGCATACTGTGTGTATCACAATTTAACCCGCCTGCCTGTCACTGTGATTGTTAAGACTGTGTGCCGTTTTAAATGAGTTTGACCCAGTTTACAATGACACTTTCACAGGTTCTTATGTTTTCAAGATGTACTGACAAGAGAGAATTACACTACACGCATTTATGCAATATTTCATCTCATTCCAACTCCATTTCTGCCATGCAAAGGATGTGGGTGGGAAATCCCAGGATCCTTTTTCAGAAGCAATGTATCTGAAGCAATATAATCAGGATGTCTGGGTAACTCCAGTGTGATATCAGGTGAGTTTTTAATAAAAACATTGTTGCAATGAATTGAGACATAACTGTAAGTAATGAAAGAAAACTTTCTATTTGTCCTCAAAAACACTAAATCCTATGGGATGACTACACCCATAGTTATGATGGTCCAGTCCTGCTAGACAGAACGTTAAAGAGGACAGAAGTAGAATAGATCTTTAGGGAACAACAGCACTGCTGTGCAGCTGGGCGTTTCTCCCACAGGCAGCTGTGAGTGACTTTACTTTGATCTTGGCAGAAGCGGTGAAGACTGGCATCACTAATGAGAAGGTCTAACACATGAACTACTTTGACTTGTCACAGCTTGTGACAGGTAGAACAGATAGTGTATCTGATGTGTGTACACATACTCTATTGGAGTTGATATATCTGAGAGAAAGGACCAGACAAGGGGAGAGAAAGGGTAGGAGGAAGGCAGAAACAATGAGAATGAGGCTGTTTGTATGCACGGTGCATAATACTTTACATGGCATTACCTCTTTGTATCGCTCCAGCTCCTGAACAAAAGTACGCTGGTAGAAGAGGGTCTGCAGACGCTCTTGAGTGTAGTTGTGGCACAGGTCTTCAAAGGTTGCACCACATTCACGCTTAGCCAGCCTTGGGTTTTGAAAGCCTGGTGTGTCCACAATGATCAGAGAGCACAGGGAGTGCTGGCTGGATTTCAGAGCCCTTAAGCAAACATGGTAAATACATACACACGCATAACATTAGCAGTGCCATATTTGACAACCTCTTGATATAACCTCATCTCATGCCACTATATCCCTAACTGAAATAAAACTGGCTCTAATACTCTGAAACCATTCAAACATTCTTGTTTAAACACAAATGATGGTTACTAAAAGTGACATGAGGCATCTACATTTTTCTGTTGTATACCGGTTCAGCACAATCATGACATCTTCATTACAAATGTAATGTACTGTCAGTAACACACCAGAGAAGAAATACTAACCGGTTTATTAGAGAAATGACGGTAGTGAAGAGTTCAGAGTAAAGCCCGGATGCCATGGCTTCTAAACACTCCATTGCTGTTGCTTTGAATGCTGATATAAAAGGCACAGAGTCAGAACAAATCCTCAATAGCTAATTCACAATATCTCCATCAGCAAATAACACAAGAACTAGTTGAATCGGAAGGAGGAATGTCAACATGTTGAACTGTAAAAGCTTTACTGAAACTATAGTCAAAGCATTTGATTTAAAAAGGAACTACATTTCCATGGTATTCAAACACATTATTTTCTGAGTTAGAAGGTATTGAAAATACCTACAAAAGTGTCTTTCTGAAGCAGTGTCATTTAGGGATCAGGTGTTTTGGAAACGGTCAAATCAAACTGAATACTCATGTCTGTGCCTAGAGGCAATTGCCACCTGTTAAGCTTTCATAATTCATTATACCATCACATAAGTGAGTTTATTGTTGCATAGGCGATATATTCATGTGTGCACACACGTCAATGACTATATGCTCATGAATGAGGGGAGATGCAGGGAAGGAGAAACAAAGGTCATTTCTGTCCATCCCTACTGTGAAAGACCTTTAACTGAGTCGTCATGCCCTTCAGAATGTACTGCAGTCTTGATGAACCAACACGTGTGAAAAATCAATGTGAGGCAATTATGATTTCAGGGACAATGAATGAAGAGTGGATCCAAAATTGCTTGTCCCAACATAGTATGCGCACCTATCTGTCAATAGCCATTGTAAAGCTGTGGTATTCATTACCAAGATAAGCTTTACTTTTTCTCTCCCTTGCATTTTCCCTTTGAGTGATGAGCAGCAACATATGCGTGTGCAAGTGTAAATAGAATGAGAGTGACAAAAAAGAAAAGGTAGGGAGAAAGGGGGGTACTGTGAGGAATAAAGAGTAAAGAATATGGTGGTAAATGTGGCGTGGAGTACCTGCATCTGCCGTGCCATTTTCGTCAGAAGCCTGGCGAATAGTGCTGGCTCTGGGCAGGGTGCCCTTGGCCTGGTGCTTGAAGATGGAAGAGGAGAGCTCCTCCAGGGTGCAGCCCAGCAGGTAGGCTGCCTTCTGAGCCCACTCATGACGTGCAAATTGTTTCCTGCTAGCTGAGACACGTGCATGAAAACCTCCATTAGCCCTTCTGCCAACTATTGCAGGCACATGGTGACTTTGTGACAATACTGTCTGTGACAGGGTAGGATTATGTGTCTGGTCGAACTGACACTGACACAGCTGATAAAAACATGCACTAAAAGCATGTTCAAAAGGGTGGTAGTCTGAATACATTTAACTACTGTGGAGATGGAGACAGACACACACACACACACACACACACACACACACACACACACACACACACACACACACACACATCTATAAAGTAAAAACCTTATTTCAATTGTTTAATACTGAAAAAATGTCTATTAAATTGAAATTATAATTGCCCCTTTTATCTTATTGAGAATGAAAGCGAAATTTATCATTAGGGGACATAATTTATTTATTTACATAAAGACTGCTGTTGGGAAAACTAACTTTCCCTCAATCTAGCGGCTGAGTGATGCTAACATAAAGATATGAGTGCCAGCTTCAGTTTTAATCCACCATGAAGTGGTATCTTCTAAGACTTAAGAGAGAAACTGTGGGATTTCAGACAAAGTAGTGGGCTCTATCTGTCTCATCAGTACTGCAGAAGCCTTGCATACTTCTCTTATTGATAAGGCTAGTTATGAAGACAAGCAAAGGCATTTAAATATTTACTTTGATAGATACCAGGCAGCACAATTACTTAAATTCTACTAAAACATCAAAAAGAGCAAAGTGGGTTTACCAACATGAATGAACATTGCAGAATCAAACAGCAGATGGCTGTACGGCTTTTAAAGATAATAAAAGAAAATTACATATGTACAATATTTCTTCTTAAGTACACAGAAAGAGTATGCCAAGTCTCCTATCTATACTTATTCGATGTAAGTGTTCACTACACAATATACAGAGAAAACTAAGTTCATTTCAGGTGGTCCCTTAACTAGGTTTTGGAGATCACTGCTGCCCTCTTGTGTACCAGGATAAAGTTACACTGCCAATGGATTTATTTCATAATCTGTTTATTACTCCTTTTGATAACCAAAATGCAAACTAGGCCCTTGGTACAAAAGGGTCTAGACTGTAGACTATTATCATTAATAAATATTCCCATAGACAGGCCTCTCAATGACTTCCTATTCCTACCCCTGACATTGCTTCTTCATAAGAATTCATTTTGAAAACGAAGACACCAATCAAATGTATTGCCAAGCAGAAAGTTGCTCAGGATTTTTATTCCCAATAACAGACAGTATTTATTGATTTTTTTTAAACTATTCCCTGCTTTATTCTGCCATCAGAAATATTGGGAGCCAGCTGGAGGGGATCACTGCAAATTATTTGGCAAGCTATTCTCATAAGTAACTGGCAATTACAGACAGGCACTGAAGAGTGAGCAAACGTATCAAAAAGCACAAAATTCAGCACTATTGCCACTGTTATCACACATTTTTTTGTGGTTTCTCTGTTGTATATTATCCTGCTATTCGGTAATTAATTTATTTGCACTACAACAGCAATTAAATCCTTAAATGGACAGTTTTTCATTTGCTCATCTGTGTAAATATGCCCACTTAACCTCAGTTAAAATTAAAACAAAACAAATTTCATCAACCAAAAAGTCAATGCTAAATATAAATAAACACTTAAATCTGTGTTTTGAAAGGACTTAAATGGTTAATTCTATCCTTTCTATCCTTCCAGTGGCCTTTTATAATGACAAAAAAAGGATGTGATGATTAACTCACCTAAAATAAAAATCTTTGTGGCAGCTACAGCTTTTACAAATGTCAGCTAATTTTAAAATGTTAGTCAAATCCTGACAAAAAGGCCGTTCTATTACTCTAAAGGAAAACAATCTGTTACATTAGGTTTCATCATTCGAACAGCTTTAGACAGAAGCAAGTTCTTGTGTTCGTGAGAACTGCTGTTCCCATTAGTCCTGTAATGCATCTTTATGACAAAATAAATGTTTGTCAAGAATTAGATCAAGGTTTTTCTCTCCGTGAGCAGCAACGGTGTTTCCAAGCAATTAGATTCAAGAAGTTTGTCATTAGTTTCAGTTACTCAACCACAAACAGTGCTCTGTTTATTTAATATGTTCATGCAGTAAGGAATAATAAAGGTAAATCCGACAGGGGTTCAGATTAAATAAAAAATACAATGTATTACTTCACTGGCAGCCACATACTATAAAGGCAGCAATAATTCTGTACCACAAAGTCTTGAATGATTCCAGCCCACCACCACCACCACCCACCCCCCACTCTACGCAAATGTGCTAAGATCTAAAGTATAACATTTTCTGCAATGGCCTAGATTTAAATGTTCAGCTATTGATCATTGGAGCAGCTGTGCACTGTGTACTTTTAACATATAAATAAATGTATTATTCAGTCATTGTGATTACATGTGATTGCATCACACAGCACATGTTGCCAACAGTGAGATAATGCCAGCTTGATATCTGTCAAATTACAAAGTGTTACAAAAACTATTTGGGCTAACAAAGGTAATTTCACCATAATTATTTTTCATTGTGTGCACAAATCAAAAACAGCATTTTGCTTTGTCACTGGAGCCTGTTCTATAACAGCAGAACAAACGTCATCTCCAATAGGTGATGCAGTTGTGCAGGAGTGCATTCAAGCAATCTTACCCTTGGTGGTTCCCGCAGCCCCAAGGTGGTAAATGGCCCCAAGGATGAGCCAGAGGGCCCTCTGCTCATCACCGCTGATCCCCAGAACCTTCATGGCTGCTTGCAGTTTGAAAAACTGCTGAGAGGCCCGCTGTTTATCCTCTGCCTGGCAGATTCACACAAACATAACTTGAGCTTCTTTTTTGGGTGGGTAAATCTTTAAGTAAACTTTTTCCCCTTCCATTCCTGGTTGGACAAAACAAGCCAAACTTCTAGTATCAGGATGCATTTACCTTAGTCTGTGGCATGATTCCAAAGGCACTGCTTTCAGCAAAGTGGTTAAGGTGCAGCTCAGTTCTAATGAAGAAATTTAAAAAATAAATAACTTACAAGACATTAGTGAACACATTTAGGATCAAAGGGAAAATAGGAAGAAAAGGCAGCATTATAGAGAACTACAATATATCTATGTAAAAACCAATGCAGTACTGTAGTGGATTTAGGTAGTAATTGACATGAGTGTATTAAACCCTACCTCAGAGAGCTATCTACTCCAGCCATTAGATAGTAAAAAACATTAAAAGTGGACTCTCCATCTGGTCTTCTTGTCACTCTCATCTTCTCCAAAAGCATTGTCTGAAAGACCAGGGCAGAGCACAATATTGAAAGGATGGCAGAAATACAATATTATGAGCAGGTGAGCATAATAACAAAGACTGAGTTTGGTGAAAATATACACCACTTTATGTCTGGAATGAAAATCAGTTATTCATTAGGAATAAATTCAACAGTTGAGTCCAAGTGAGTTAATTAATAAATGTGCTTATCTGTACCTGGATAGAGGCTGAGGTCACCAGGCCCGCCTGGTCAAAGTCCAAGGAAACAATGTGGGTGAAGCGACTAGCATTGCCATTCATGCACGTAGAAGCATTCCCAAAAGCCTCCAAAACAGTGTAGACTGCCTGCCATTTTTCTGCTATAATAAAGATCATACGCTGTTATTGGGGAGGGGGACTCAACAACATCAATCATAATATTAGCTAAATTTTATTTATTTATTTATTTATTTTAATTCAGAGGACATCCTTTCCAACCTACTGGAGAATGTTCTGTTGGTGCTTCCTGCAACTGTAACCAGATACTGGATGATATGTTGACAGTTAGTGGTCTTGCCACTTCCACTCTTGCCCAGCAATACAATTGACTGATCCTGGCGAGTAGTCAGCAGGTTCCTGTAGGCAGCCTGTGCTAATCCATAAATGTGAGGAGCAGTGTCATCTCTTCTGCAGCCCTTGAACATTTGCATCACCTGGAAAGAAAAGCAAAATTATAGTGTTTTTACATGGATTACTACCATTGGAAATGCATTTTCTCCTCACTACACTCTCATTTATACTCTCCCACAAGAGATGTGTCACATGTACTGGCTAGAGCCTACCTTCTCCGAATACATTGAAGGGGCACTAATGGGGTTAATGACCACCATGTTGGGCCCAGCGTGGGTGTGCACCAGGTTGCTGCCATACCGCTGCCGCAGAGAGTGCATCACACTCGACTCGTTCAGATACTGCAGAGAGGCCAAGTCCTCCACTCGGTCAAACGCTGGAGGGTTTGCCTAGAGTTCAAAGTCAGAAGAGCTCACAAGTGTCATCTGTAATTAATGAGGTTCACAAATGATGAGATGATTAAATACCTTCTCTACATCGTCTTCATCCACATCCAATAAAGATCCATCACTCTCCAGGCGGATTTTCACCTTCCCCTCTGGCAGACTGCCTGTCTCCATCTTCAGGAGAGTTGCTGCACCACCACAAAGTGTGGAGTTAACTACTTATGACACATCATTTCAACCTGAGTGCAAAAGTTTCATTTCATTTTGCATAATACTATGTGGCAACTGTATCCCTTTCAATAGTGTCAGAGATTTAATAAAATGTAAGTAAGTTTTGAAATGTAAGTTTTGAAAACATGGTTGGTTTAATCACATGCAGCCTGAGGTAAAATGAGCAGCCTGATAACATCAAAATTTCAAAAGCATTTCCAATGCTTCACACACCCACATTTACAGTTATGTAATAAAAGGTCCACCAGAAACAGACCATACCAGTAAAAGCAGAAAAAAAGTAAGTTTGTTTTAATATAGTTGTGAATAAAGGGTAAAAAACCCACAATAAAATCCATCTAATTGCACTATAATGCATAATTTATTTAAATACAGACATTTTACTAACCCAAGGAAAATCCATCCTTGTGGACAAGCCATACTTTCTCAGTGTTATACCAGGTTTTCTCTGCTGTCAGCTGCTCCTCAGTCTTTACCTGTTAGAGGTGAAAATCAGTATATGAAAACCTGTATAACCAATTTCTATTGGATCACTGATTAATAAATCATACAGCTGCATAATGGACTTTCAAAAGGATTTCAGTTCACTGAGTGGAGGGCTATATGGATTTGAGAAAAGTATGTTTTCATTTCACACCTCCTATATTTATGTCATTTACAAAAGCAGCCCTCCACAGAAGAACTAGACTTCCCATGACTCTCCTTTTATGAACCTTTCAGAGCTCACACAGTGATTAACTCAGAGGTGCAGTTAATATGCTCACTATAAAGACATTTAAGGTGGAAGGTTAAAATGCAGGAGGGATTTATCACAACCAAGTCCAAACCAATCACATATAGAAAAAAAATGCACGGCCTGCTTGAACTGAACAGAGACACACATACAGCATAAAGCCAAACCAGTTAAATCAAGTCAAGTGTTTGGAGGTAATAAAATAGGTACAAACAGTGAATACGCACCAAATAGTAGTTTCTTCCTTGAAATGCAACTAATTTTATTAACTAAAGAGTACTGACTGAGTAGGGTACTTCTATTCCTTTACTCAGATTTAACTACATTGAGTAAGTCTATAGGGAAGGTTAATTTGAGCTTTATGGGTGCTGAATGTCATTCACTAGGCTTTCTGTGACACTCATGACTAGTTTGTCCCACACAAATAACACAAAAAAAGCACATTCCACTTGAAACACTTCGGGATGCAACCAGAATTACAACCAGCTGTAGCCATTATCAGACCTTAGTTGCAGCTGAGTGTGCTGCCTGAAGGATGGCCACGGGATCCTCAACAAGTTTGGACTGGACAAGGGAAGAAATCAGTAAGTTTAGTGCTTTATTTCAACACCTATAGAGATTCAACTTACATTTACAACCGCATGAAGAAACAATAAAAATGCAGAGTTGTGGAGAAAAGTAAAACAATAGGTCAGAATTTTTAAAAAGTATAACACGAACACTGCAGCAAGGCCAACAACAGTGCAACACCACCCAAATAAGTGATTCACCAACACATTTACCATAAAGTCCTTAATAATGATTGTATTACTATAAGAAATACTGTAACAAAAATAATGCACTGATTAGCAGGATGCATTTAACCACACGTGTGGGTTTGTGGAGAGAGCATAAAACTCATGCCCTCTTATTAACAGTCACAGTTATGCACAGTAAGGTATGTATATCAGAAATGTTAATGCTAGTAATTTAGCTTTCCATGTCACTGACATGCACCTAATAAGAAGTGTTAAAAGCTGTTAACTGAAGAATTATGACAATATAGCTTCAGTATGTACATGTATTTGTATAGCGCAAAAGCAACAACACCATTACAGAGCAGCATGACACACCGAGTCCACTGTAAATGAAATGGAGCAGTGGTAAAAATAAATCTTGAGATCTTGAGAAGTTTTTATGCCGCAGTAGTACACTCCAGGCCTCTGCATCAATGATTTTAAAGACAAGTGGGCAGGCACAAAAAAAATTTAGTTTGTGTATATATATATATATATATATGCTAGAGAAGGGTCAGTAGAGGAGAACAAGCTTAGACTCAAGCACTCTACAGCTGAAGGAGTGTGTCCAGCCCACAGCACAGCAAGCTGTACCTGAGAAGATTTGTAGCATTTGGTATGCTAGCCATGTAAACAGCAAAATGGACACCAGCAAGTCAGGATCCAGTGACCCACAGAAAAGCATAGAGACAAAAGATATGGATTAAGACAACAAAAGAGCAGAGCAATGAGAAGGGGTAAAATAAGCTCATTTCCATGTTCTAAACGTTGAAAACAAGTAACTCATTGCCATATAATCCAGCACTGCTAAAATATCAATGTCAGAGTACATTGTCATTATATGACTGAGACTGAAACGAGGCTTACACAAGCTCAGTCCTTCTCTGGACCAGATAATAATACAATTAATGCTACAGAATTAATACAAATGAGCTGGCAAAGAGCCAGAAACATCGAGTTTAAGCTGAGCAATATCAGAGGTGTAGAAGAGTGGGGCTGCTTGGGACAGCCCAATGATGGCCTCTGGAATTTTAGGGAAATCATTTCGGGAAGGCCGTTTGTCAGGCCTTGGGTTAAGCTTAGGGCAAAAAAGAGTTATTCCACTGCAGAACCACTGCATGCAAAAAAAACAAAACAACAACAACAAAAAAAAAGTATTATGCTCCTGAATGTAGGAAAACCATAGTTTCATGTCAACCTTAGGAGCAAACTTAGCACACACCTGTTCATTTTTTGCAGACTGGGGTAGGACAACAGGGGGAGGTTTACCATTGGAGACCACAGGGGGGAAAGATGTTTCCTGCACCTTTGCACAACATATGTAAATAACCACAAACACACAGACAAACATGCACACACACAGGTGGAATTAACATGATAACATGATGATGATGACAATTAAGTTAAAGCTCGAGGTATTTCCTTTTAACTTTAAACTAGATTTTAATTAGAAAACTAGAGCCAACTTCAAGAGACGCTTGTTCAAACTAATTACAATTTTCCAACTAATTCAGTGAGGAAATGGGTAAGGGCAAAAAAGCTGTTCAAGAAAATTGGATCATTAAACACTGTGGTAAAGATTAATGGTTTTAAGCATTGAATTGTCGATGGTGGTTTCAGCAACAATCGAATGCAAATTTCTTCAAAGTAATGAAATAATCAAAATCCCAACCTAATTTTCAGGCGCCACTCCCCAAAAATCTCAAAGTTGCATCTGAAATTAACCCATCAAAAGTTCTATGCCATTGTTCTGTAACTGCAAAAAGCTCAGTTTCTCTACTTCTGTTCCATAGCTGCTTCTATACTTGAAGTTGTGAATCAAAAATTATTTTAAATTCCAATCAAATATTGCTTGTTCTTTTTTTCTAATATATACACAGGAGAAAGTCAAAGTAAGGCTTTGACAGTCTGGTTTCAATTTCCCCTCTACAGGAAGCTGCTAAAAACTGGAATTAAACAAATTACTAAAGTTGTCAAACCCCAGGTATAATTTAGTTGTTGCTAATGGTAATGGCTGAGGTCTGCCATTGTCAGCAACATAAAAACACCTTTCTGTTGTACAGTCATAGCTCTAGTGAGAGCAGAAATATAAAAATCACTAGACAAAACAAACCTACACTAATGGTTTGTCACACATAAATTTCTAAGATCAGCTAACATCTTGTTCCTGACATTAAAAGCCGAGTCTCTCCCTAGAGCAGTTAAAAACACTATATCCCTCAACAAAAACACCAGGTGCATCTCTCTGAAATCCAATCCCTCACTCTATGGCCAAATACCCAACTGTTCACCAGATTTCACAGACATCTGCTGATGAAATTTTCAGATGGTAGGCTGACAGACAGAATGCCAGAGACTAAATAACAGGACAAAAACATAACTTTGTCTGAAGTATAAAATGGAACTTGGGATACAAAAAGGTACATCCTTAAAGCAATTTTATTTTCTTTTTAGCAGATTTAAATGTTTACATAACCAATTATTTGTTCTGTAGAAACAAAGACACTCTTCTCTGACAGACTGTTACAAGACAATTAATGCTAACCTGAACAACATTTTAAAAAAAAAAAAAAATCTTTATTCTTGTTTCCATCTTTAAAAACATTACTAAACATCCTCTCTCACAGTGGTGCACAGCAGAGAGAGCACAGTTTCAACTCCGTCTGCTGAAAGTCACAGTAATGAGATTTAGCTCAGTGCTCCAACTCATCAGACAACTACAGTGCAGGTCATGAGCACACCCTTATACCCACTGATAAATCTGATGATTAGTTTCCATATGTGCACCACTTCCCTCCACTTATTCAAGGCAACAATTATATAAAGTTATTTGTGGGAATGTATTATACTTTAACTAATTTTGTTTATAACAAAGATTAGCTCAAGTTTGATGAATGCATAACCAAAAAACAATCTATAAGATGTTCATTGAGCTCATTTATGAGAAAATTGGATGAATTAGCAGTGACGACTTAAGTTGTGCTCCATCTAGTGGCTAAGTAGCAAACATGCACTTTTCACTCAGTACCTCTGGTTTCGTTACAGCAAGGGGACGAGGTTTTGGGATGAAACCACCAGGAGGGGCCAAGGGATCTGCCTTGGGGACAGGAATGAAACCAGGAGGTCTTATAAGGGGATTCTGTTTTGTGGGCAGTGGGCTTGATTTTCTGGTGGGGATGAAACCTGGTGGTGGAGTCAACACGTTCTGCTTAGGGACTGGGATGAAACCAGGAGGTGGGGCCAAAGGATCAGGTTTGGGTGGAGGGATGAACCCAAGTGGAGGGGTGAGGGGATTAGACTTTATTGGTGGAGTGTTAAGGGCTGCAGTAGTAGGCAAAGATGAAACTTCCTCTGTTTTTGTCATAGCAGTCTTTTCTTCAACCTCCTCCACCTTTTCGTTCTCCTCTTCCTGCGTCACAGTGTCTTCCTTGCGGTCCTGGGTGCGGGTGCGAGGCCGATGTTCCTTGGTTCTGCCTCTTCCCATCAGGCTTGTTAGGCCCACTGATATATCATCCTTTTCCACCCCAGCAGCTCCTGTTTTCCTGATTGCAGCGTCTGTAGCAGATGCAGAAACTGCGTGCTGGTTGCGCTCTTCTGTTCCAGCAGGAACCACTCGTCTAACAACTCTTCTGACAACTTTCACCACCTTTTTACCACTAGAACTCTTCTCCTCCCCAGGTGTGTCTGGACCTCCCATACCAGTGTTGTTATTGGCTTCTTCAGCTGGTGATGCGCTTGACTGTGGACCACTTCCTGTGTCCAGACCAATTTCAGGAATTCCCTGAGGTTGACCCTTATCTACATCAGACTGGATTTAAAATTTCACAGAGAATTATTTTGAAAAGGATTATTTAAACTGCTCACTAAGGTTAGAATCAATCAAGCCAACTCAATTACTCATTTTCATTAAATCTCATAATTACAGTGTATGGGCAAGCCAGGTTTTTATTTTTTTTATTTTTTCTTGAATTGAGTCTACAGCTGGATAAAGGGAAAAGAAACGTGTCCAGAGACTCATGGGCAAGGTTACAAATTAGTATTCTAATGTTAGTTTTACACAATATAAGACAGGTGGGACTGTATATAATCAAACTGGATTCATCCGCAGTGGTTCTGTGGGGCCGGTAACACCTGAGGGTGCACCAAGTCACTGAAAAGAAGAACTTGGATGGGCCCAAAAATATGGAACCAAATGAAGCTGATTATTTTTTACCTTTCAGAAATCATATTCAATTAATACTTTACTGATGCTATTGCACTGGATATTGGTTACTGGTGCTATTGCACTGGATATTGGTTAAATAAAGAGCTGCTGCCCATGGTTCAATTATGATAGAGTAGGTGCCCATCCACTACGCCTGATTATTTTACTAAGAACTGTATCTCTTACAGGACAATAGTAGCCACTCTTCTTTTACTACACAAAAATGGTTTGTATCACCATCACTCAAACACATGCAGCTGAAAAACACTTACATCTGGCTTGTTCTCAACCTTAACCTACACAAGAGGAAGGAAGAAAACAAATCAAACCACACATTCAGATCATGGTTACTCTCTTAACATAAATATTCCACAAAATCACTGAATAATAAGATAAAAAGAAAAAGCAAAAAGGGACTTTCCTTTTGCTCCCAGAAAGAGAAGCGTGATTTATACGCCATGGTGATAGGTCAGAAGTCATGGATTTAACTGGATGAGGTGAAGAATAAATGGATGGAATGGTGGTGGTGGTGTGGGGACAGCTGAAGACGGCCGAGAATGGGAACCTGAAGATGAGCAGTGGGACACTGAACTGCACACAACAGGTCATTCAGCAACAGGGTAGACAGACTATGCAGCACTGAAGATAGAGCACATGAACATTCATAATGAATGAAAGGTTAGCTTTCTTCCAACTGCAAAACACATGAACAAGAATCTGACCAAGTACACAAGGCACACAAAACAAACTTATTCATCTGGAGCTGCGTCATATGTGGGACTCATTCACATTCTGTTATAATAGCAATGACACACACAAAAAACAACAACTAACCATTCCCTCAATCACCACACAAAAATTATAAAAATATTGAGAATCTGCTTCTTTTGCAGAAATGGCCATACTAGAACTAGAAACTAGAAAGAAAGCAAGTCAACTTTTTCTTAACTAAACTATAATTTATTTAACTCATTAAAAGGTGACATACCAAAATGAGTTCCACAGCAACATGTTTCACTATCTCTGTCCCTGATTTCATCAGTCCACTCCTATAAATAGTTTCAACAGCAAAGGAGGCCATTCTGAGATGCCATCAGACCCCTAATAGAACTGCTAAGCAGAGCATGTACACTCTGAGCTGATCACACTACTTGCCACACACACAGTCCGCCAGAGACATGAGCCCATTACCTTTTCTCTGGGTCTGGTTAACCTTCCAATCTTCACTCTGTCACTGAAGCAGTGCAGCCAGGGCCAAGGCAGAGTAAAACCTGGGTCTTGTAAGAGCACACTCACTAGCCCTGAGAAAGAGGGTGGGCAACCTCGAGGGCGGGGTCACAGTGAGCACAGCACAGTTAAGCTGTGGCCTGAGGAGTGGAGGGGGTAATGTAAGAGGAGACCGAAGAGAGTGGCAGCTGCTGAACAGTGGTTATAAATAGTATGTGTTCATCACATCAATTGCCACTGCCACTTCTCCCTGTCAGCCTCTTGTCCTGCTGGGAGTCAGAAAAACAGTATCCCTCTTCAGGCGCTTTACCAACTGTTATCTTTTATAATCCCCCTCACATACACACACATAACCCACCTATTTTAAGGAAATCCAAAACTATAAGAGATAGCACAAACACATTAAGCAATCCAACAAATGCCTACTACCTACATCTAAATCTATATACAGCTAATTCTGTACAAACCTCCAGAAGGAATACATAAATAACAAATATGAAATAAATAATATAAAAGTACACTTTTGTGGAACATTTTATCTAGTGACCCCAAAATGTATTTCACATTTACTACAAAAAAGTGTTCTTCACATTTTCCACCACAAGAGGGAGCTTTAAAACAATAAACTAATATCTTACATACACTAACCGAGTTTCAATATGTTGTACTGTTCAATGTAAACGCTAAGGTATAACACTATCCAATGATTGCAAACATGTTGACCTAAAGCAAAGAGTATATCAAAGTTTTAAGGGTTTTAATATGAGAGACATACACTGTCCAGTATTGTTTTATAGTGTGTTTATAGTTTGTTTGCATCATACCCAAGGACACATTAGTATTTCAATGTTAATTTCACACAACATAAGACAGATGGGACCATATACATCAACAATGTAGAGTTGTCATTAAAGCTGTCATTCTGTTTCAGTGATGACAAGAAGCTGCACAAAGACACTGAAAGCAAGAGCACAGAGGAAAATGTCAAGTGGAACTAAATTGAATGAATCATCTTCTTTAGGCTGTCATAGAAGATCATCTGCCTTCATCTTACCCCATCCCTAGCATCCTCTTCAGTCACACCAACCCTCTGCTTGTCCTTCCTCACTACACTCTCTGAATCTCCTCTGTGGTTTCCCTGCTGCCTGGCAGCTCATATTCAGCGTCAGTTCATTGAATATATCCACTAAACTTCTGTGAATGTCCAAACCATCTCAACATTGCCCCTCTAACTTTGTCTCCAAACCACTCAACTTGAGTCATCCTGGTCACTCCCAACAGAAATCTTAGCATTTTCGGCTTTGCTTCTAGTCTTTTTGTTAGTGTCACTGTCACAGCAATTGTCACCACCATCTTGTAGACCTTGCCTTCTACTTCTATCCTTCATCCAAATCACCCTGAACTCATCTTCAGCCCCACCACCTAACCTGTACTCATTTCTTCTCCTATGGCAACAGCACTCCCCAGTGGCAGCTGCCTTCTAAAGCAGATAATACACACCATAAAAACTGCTCAGGAACATGGCAGAGCACAAGGCATTCTTACCAAATGACTGCTGCATGCATCAGAATATGCCCACAACACACAGGATCCCAAGGTTATGCTGCCAGAAATCACAGGTCACCCTCAAAAGACCATGCTCCCAAAGAGGTGATTTCAATGTTGTGACTGATCAATACAGTTACGTCCATAAGTCACAAGACAACCAAACAATTTTTTGCTATTTTGAGTCTTTACACAGTAGACTGTAGACCAAGCAAGACAGGTGTGAAAGAAGACTTTCAACTTTAATTCAGAGTTTAACAAAAATAAATAAATACTGAGGTAACAGTTACAGAGTTTTATAAACAGTCTTTCATTTTTTACAGTATAAAAGTAGTTGGACAATTAACTTAAAGTTTCATGGAAACGTGAAGCCTGTTTTTTCATTATTAAATCAAGCACATAAGAGTTTCAAAGTGTTCAGCTTGCATTTGGTTCCTGTTCACCGGAACTTTCAGTCTAGGAAATCGATGCAAGTGAGGAAGGCCATCAAAAGGCTGAAAATTCAAGACACATTTATTTTCTTGATTAAGAAAAAGAACTTCACATCAACTACCCAAGTCAGGAACATTCTCAAGGAGTGTTCTTTTAGAGATGCACTATTTTCAACTCTATAATAACTCAAGAGATAAATGTAATGACATTTATAGCAAGGTGCAAGCGACCGGTTACACAAAAAAAAATAGGAAGACCAGATTAAACTTCTAAAAAAAGGAGGAGGAAAAACTTTTAGAGTCTGCACAGTTTTGAAAAAGATGGTGATAGAGGGTTATGCTATGTTTACTGCAAAAGAAACCCAAGGGTTTCTCAAGATGAAAAACTAAAATGAAAAAAAAAAAGTTCAAGCCAGTCTGCCCAAGTCAGTCACATGATCACAATCCAGTCCAGCAGAGAATCATTTTCGGTTACTGAATTGCTGAAGTAAGAGCTTAGTCGAGCATCTCAAGGCAGGAAAAAGCATAATTTCATTGACTGCAAAGGACTTCCATCCAAGGTTTAAAAACAAGTTGTACTTAAAATTGTTTGTTAAATGAGTTTCTAGCCTCTGAAAATACAGGACTATGTCCAATATGTTCAAATGCTTAAGGACATAACCAACAAACACTCGTGTTTGTTTTTGTATGACTACAGGTAAAGCCAGTCAGGTAACTCAAAGCTGAAAGGTAAGGCATCTCACTAGTATCCGGAAGTATTGTTAAATGGAAAATATGTAAATGTAGAAACTGGTTTGGTAAGGTAGGCCAATTATGGCACATACCTTCCAATAACCAGCTATCATCTGGCTTTTCATTTAGTTCATTCACAATCATTAAAACTAAAATCTTTTTTTCTTTTTTTTTGCCTTTAGAAGTAATTAATTAAATTATGTTTAATGTCCAAAACGCTATAAATAGTTACATAGCACTTTATCTCATGGTGAGCTCAGAAGTTTGCATTAGCACTTAGCAAGATCCAGTAAAAAACACAGCCTGGCTCATCTATCTAGAGCAGACTGCTAATCCCCAGAGTCTGTTACTGGGACACAGCAAAGTGTCGACTGTTTGTCTACACACAGTTGCTGCAGACTAAAGATTAAGGACTCTATATATGTCATAGACACTACTGATTCTGACCCAGTTATGCCTCCATACTATCAAAGCTGTTTGAATCATATTATTAAGCTGTAGCATGAATCAGACTACCACATTTTTAGAACTATACAGATTATTTTAACTATGACAGACATATAACATAGCAAGAATTGTTATATTGTGTTTCATATTCATTGAGAGGGTTGATGTTTATAAATTCAATTCTCCATATTGTTTATCCTGAAAAAGAAATTCAGTAATTGCTTGAGATTTTTCATCAGTATCTATGTCTTTGCAAGCTTAAAGTAGAAATAAATTATGGGACATCATTCTTTACTGTCAAAATTAGAAGAGATGACCCAGATTTTAAGTCTGTTAAGTAAACAGGGCTGGACATAATTTTTAAAGCAGACTATGTAAAAATGTAGGAGAAGCAAAAACTCAGTGCATAATTCAGGTTTAAATTATTTTAAAGGAGTTGCATAAATCTTGACATATTTCACTTAAGAAATCTGGTGGCTAATTCCTTTTAAAATTTCTTGCAAGTATCATTATATCACTCAGAGGCACGCACTCATATACAGCAGGAAGAGGACTATGAGTCAGGTCAGTCATATTATTCAAGCACACAGAAACTCAGTGTCTATAACGAAGAAATTACTGTGAGGGGGGGAAAAAGGGTCGTGTTTTTTTGGCTTTTACCCAATGCTTAAAGGGTTAACATGCTCAGTGGTGCATAGATGAAGGCAATTTAAGTTTGGTGCAGGGGTTAGTGCTGTTTGTTGATAGGGATCTTCCACTGACTATTTGAATACCAAATATGAAACACTTTGACATGGTATTCATTTAATCCAAGTTCATTTGAATTGCTGTAGATTATATTTGTTTTAATGACAGCTGCATAGAACTGTTTGTAAAAGGTGAAGGACATACGTAGCCTTCGAGCAAACCCTCTGACAATACAGTAATCAGACACGACACAATAATGACAAAGAAAAAAAAACAACAGGCAGCAAACTGTGAGAGAGCAGGTGTTTAGCCGATACCAATCCTAGCCAGTTTTTGTTCAGTAACAGGCTTATTATTCTTGTATTCTCACAGCAGTCACAAAGATTGTCAGTGGTTGCTTGGCAACTTGACAATGATGACAAGATTTGACAAAGTCAATGCTCCTTGCCAAGAAATAACGCTCTTTAAAAACACAACTTATCCTTTCTAAAGCATCATTACATAAAGGCATAGATATAATGTCTTCATTTGAGAGATTTAGTGGTGATGACTGATATTTTTACCTCTCTCTTTAAACAAAAGAAAAAGAAAAAAAAAAACCCTGGGGGAGCTGCTTCCCCATTCCATGTTTTATGCTAAGCTAAACAAAACAAACCATCTCCAGTAGTAGTAAACTTTTAATAGACTAATGAAAAGACAGTGAATAAGTATATTTTAAAAATATATTAAAAAAATTAAGCCAATAAACAAAATTACTGTATGTTGGTGCATCATATGGTCTCGTACTGTATTGCAGAGCTCTAGATCGAGAATCCAGAGCTTATTATAACCACCTAAAAATAGTGCTGCTGGTTCTAGGTCAGCCTCACATGCACATTTTGTGCTTTTTCAAAAGGCCTGTCTTTTTGATCGTCAAGATTGCTTGAATGTAGGACAAAGTAGACAGTCACTTATTTCAGGGAAGCAACTGGGCTGTGTACACATTCATTTAAATAGTTCTAGCTGATGTATTCCAACAGAATGGAGAAAATGGCTCTTATTCACTAAGAGACACACAGTGCATAAGTATATGCACTGTGTGTAAACAGTATGTATGAGTTTCATGCACAAATCAGGAATTTATCAATATTTTTGTACCCGAATTTGTTCATACTTTATTAACAAACTTCTGACCAGGTGTACCATCTAATGAAGCTGTCTTGGGAAATCTATGGTCTTTAAAATTAATACTACATGTCCTACTACTGTTATTTTATCATCATCATTATCACCAACACCAACTCCTTTTGAATATTACTTTTTTTTTCCAAAAACATCATTAGTTAGAAATGAGCAAAATTACAATTAAATTTAAAAAAATGAAAGTTGTATTTAAAGAAAACTACATCCAAAAGTGAAAAGGGTATGCTTTGACCTTTTAATTTAAACATATTCCAGTATTTCCATTACAGCTCCAAACATCACTAATGTGCCTTCATAAGCAGCACATACTGCCATCCCCAACCAAAGTTTATCTTACCAACTGTATAAACTGTATTATGAAAAACAACAACAACAACAAAATGCTTGTATTCAGGTGTTTGTTGCACCAGCTAATAAAGAGTTTAACTCTATGCTCCTTCACTTGTTGCACACGATTATCTGGATGAAAAGAACTGAATAGGCAGGCAGCCAAGTCTTACAAGACCATATGGCCATGTGTTGTGGCGGCATTCGGGCCGTTGTTTCCTTCAGCGTCCCATTGTTTGGTGTCAAAAGGACTGGGGGGGTGGGAGGGGGATTATATGTACACCAGAACATATTCTCTCTTTCAAAACACACACTGAGACACTCCCCCATACATGCGAGTACAAAATCACATTACCAATGTCATTACAACTCCACCCATAATGCATCCGTTTTTAGTCTATTAAAGGTCAGTGCAAAAGTACATACTTAATACAAAATAACAGAGAAAGGGTCTTTTGTAGTAATTTTAAAAAGATTCACCCCAAGTACATGTGTATTTACAGAACAGATCCACTGTGTTTCTCAGTGGAATTCAAGTAAACACAATGATTTCAAAAATGTAAAAATCTCAGATAATCCAACATTAAAAGCAAACAAGCCACAAAAACAGGTTCTGGTATTAAGAATAATGTGATGACACAGAAATAGATTAGCATTAAGGGTAGAGTTTTTTAAAAAGCAAAATAATATTCACACAACAGACCAAGTCAAGAGTACTACTTACATCTTTGCTTAGGTCTTCAGTGGTCCTCAACCAACTGCGGTTCAGCTCACTCAGCTCGAGAATTGGCTGCACTTTTAGTCGTACTGAATCTCCAGACTGACGAATCATCTCCACAATCTCGTCCCTGTTTTTGTTCTCCACATTAATCCCATTGATTTCTACAAGCTTGTCTCCTGGCACCAGGCCCAGAGCCCGATCCTTAGTCCCAACCCCTGGTTCGGCAAAGTGTACAACACGTCGGCACACCCCACCATCAGACTGCCTGTCTACCATGGTGGTTCTTCGCAAAGAAAAGCCAAAGTCCCCAGTGCTGCGTCGCTGTACCTCAAGTTCTCTTGGATCTGGTACTGGTGGAGAGACAAGTGCAGGCAACTGTAGGTCTGCACCAGGAAAGGTCTTCTCCACAATATCAGGAATCTGAACTGTGATGGTGCCCTTTGAACTCGGGTGTAAATTTGTAGATGGTGTAGTCCAGTTATGGCCAGAAAGCTCTGAAGCATCCAAAGCATTGTCCTTTGGGGTCACCTGAGTTAAGGTAGCTACTTTCCTCTGGCCCACCACTGTATTCACCTTGGCCAGTTCCCCAAATTTAGCTGCCCTCTCCTTCACAGAGCTGCGATTACTTAACAGCTCAATTCCCTTTACATCTTCAGAGGTGCTTGCACTTATTTGCCCCACAGTGTTGTGATGATGCTCAGCATCAACGTCTGTCAGGTAGAGTTCCGTGTTACTGGCCACCTTAATTGGGATAGGGCTAGAAATCTCCAACTTGCTCCTAGATTCCTTCTTGGAGTTTCCTCGAGTAAGTGGGAATAAGCCTCTACGTATGCTCATCTCTTCTAGACTCTTTAACTCAGACTGAGACATACGTTCTTTCTTTTCTCTTTTGTCTTTCTTTTCCTTCTTGCTCAAATCCCTTTCCTTCTTGCTCAAATCCTTTTCCTTGTCCTTGTCTTTTTTCATTAAGTGAAACATGATTAAACTATTCTGTAGTTATTTAGCAACTGATTAATTTATCATGAGAACCTTAAATTATTAGAAAAGAGGCTGATGACAGCAGCTGAAAGCATCAACTCTGGGTTTGGATCTCTCTTAGTGATATCTGTAGAGAAAAGAAACAAGAGGTGAACACAGACTAGCTTTGATGAAAGCATAACAGAGTGCAAGAACCTTGTGTTTGTCAGAGTTTAACTAAGTAATTGGCAAAAAAGATTCAGTCAGTAATTAATCATAAGTACTATGACATACACATGACTAGCACATCTGTGAAAGCACAGATAATGCTGAATGGTAGAAAGGCATATACAGAAAGGCTGAAAGTCTGGTGGTGCTGCGGTTTGCACTCATGCCTAAGAGCAAGAAGTTCCTGGGTTCAAATCCACACTTTCTCTGTAGAGTTTTAACTGTAGGTGTGACTGTGAATGGCTGTCTGGCTCTGTATTAGTTCTGCAATACATCAACAACCCCACAGTGGACGACTCAACGGATGGATGTACGTACAGCTGTAACTGTCAGGGAAGTCTTTCTTTATTTCAACAAGACAATGACAAGCCCAATTCTGCAGACATTACAACAGCATACCTCTGTGGTAAGAGTTTAGCTGCTAAACTGGACTGGCTGCACTCCACACCTATCCCTATCCAAAAACAACACCACTGAAAATATTTAACACATTATACAATGAAAAGGAAGATTTATACTGTTGTACAGCTGAAGTCATATCAAAAAAGATATTAAAGCTGGTCTGATCTTCTCAGTTCCTAAACCATTGCAGAAACCACAGATAAATAGGAACTGCTGTGGTCCTGACCTGACTTGTTGAATTATGTTGCTGGCATCAAATTAAAGACCACTAGATTTAATAAAATTAAAAAGAAAAAAAATGAAAATAAAACATCTCAATTTTAACAACTCATGTATTATCTTTGTACCATTTTCAGTTACAGAGTTACAAAGTTCACATGGTTTGCAAATCATGTCATTCTGTTTTTATTTACATTTCACATGACCTCTGTCCTTCTTGAGAAAAACATAATCCACATTTAAAACTTGGATTTGAAGTCCTTTCTACACCTTGGGGTTAAAAACATTTAAAAAAAAAAACGTTATCAAACTGCAGAGCAGTATCACTATTTTTATTTCAGTATCAACCTATTATCTAATTCAGTTCAATAGAAAAGTAGCCTGTATATATTTGGGTGTGTATAGGAACTGGTATCCCCCGCTGTAGTATCAACAAACGAAACATGCACCCTAGATAAGGAATGTGATCTTATCTAAAACTTATCTTTGACACACCTCAATCTATCCTACATAATAACATACAGTGTTTTAAAGAGCGTAGCTTTCCTGCTCTCAGATACTCAGCATCATCACTAAATGATTGAAAACTGAAGCTATGTGCATGGGAGCCTCCACTAAGCTCCATATGTATAACTGAACAGTAAACTGTAAATTCAAACCTAATCCAAGCTAAATCACATGCTCTTAGAAGAAAGCTATGAAATGTCCGAAAGCAACTCAGTTTATCTTACAGTTAACATTTAGGTATGCATTTTCGTCGTATTTTATTACTGGAAAGCGCAGTTTGGTCTGTTGTTATTAGTTTTTCGTTTTCTTGAACTTTAAACACTACGCATAGGTTGTCGACACGGCTAGTCCTGAGCTTGGCCATAATGCTCTCCCTTTAAGCTGCTTTGCCCTCATTCTTTAGCAGTGATAAAGAGTGTACTAATGTCACTCACGATAAACGATACAAATTAAGTAACACTGTAACATATGACAATTCCTACCTGTAATTGCCTAAACATGACAGCGTTGTAGTCTTACTACAGGTTTTCGGCATTTTCCAATGAATTGTCAGCAGGTGCGACAAATGCTTTTGTGATGCTTTCAAATGCTTGCAGTAAGCTCCGACTTCTGATTACTTTGACATAAGCGACCTACGGGGAAGCAGCTATCCTCGTAAAGAAATAAACACAAAAAACTTAGAAAATGGTGTCGTACATCAGATGATTAATTCATTTTCCCCCAAACAGCTCAATAGTTTTAATAAACTTAAGTAGTCTCCTCATTACACTTTAAAATATATATTATAAAGAGGGAAAGCTGAAAAACAACCACTCTCTTAATGGTCTAAATTGGAAACATGGGGGGATTAGTCCTCAATGATAGTAGGACGATTTAGATGTCCAAAATGTAGGCTAACGCTCTAAATTTTAATAAATCCAACAGCACATGAAAGCTCCGGAAGACTACACTGGACAGCAGTGACCCCTCCTGGTCTTTATTTTAACCATACAAAGGATGTACGCACAGATATTTAGTTCCAAGCTGCCCAGTTTTTCGTAGAGAAAAACTTATATTGTTAACATGTTTATTTCACATTGGATAACACATAAAGTGTTTTGCAGCTAATGAGTTACAGTCACTGACATACAGACTTTAAACCCAAACAGAATCTGAGTTGTGGTGAATGGTTATTTTAAACATTATTTACCTATTTATATGGAATACTTTAGGATAATTCCTCCTACAACAATGATGAGTTGATTACAGCATATGTTAGAACTCAATTTGCAAGATCAATTGCATAAAATGTTTCACCTCATTTGCATCGTTTCTTCCTTCTCCCAGCAGTTTCAATATACACATACATAATGAACTCCAGATAATCCCATATGTTTTGCTTGTTAAAGCTCATTACACATAGGAAGCTGCAATTCTGAGGAGAGAACCACAATCTAAAATGTATTACCTTAATAGTTTACTCACACTGATCCATTCATTTTAGAAAAAATCATTTTAGACATTTACAACATGCCAAACTTGATTTCCTTTCCATTTTTTTTATTACGCTTATTTTGATGAAAATATGCATTTACATTTTGGCAAATTCTGGTTTGTCTGAATTTATCCATGGAGTGCCCCCGTGTCTCAAATGAGATGCCCAGTACTTGGCTTCTGATAGTAGTGCTCCTGGCCTGGGGCACGTACCTCTACTGCGAGTTGATGTCGGGATATAAATTTACACTGAAGCACCTTGGACTGACAGTCAACATAAAGTTTTGTTTTCAGCTGAAATTCATT